AAACAAGAAGGACATGGGATAAGAAAGATCAAAGACTTTTGCGAAGTTACGTTTGCCAGGCGCAAAACTCAACGAATCAAACAACCGGCGGTCCCGTGGATCCAGGTGGAAAGATAAACAAACAGATCAAGAAGTAGTAGAAAGATGAAAGAACGACAAGAGAAGGAAACAAACACATAAGAGACAAGAAGGACAAGGGAATAACCTTTCAATGGAAAGGATGTCGACATCTCTTCTGTCTTCCTTTTCTCTCCTTTCCTCTCCTCTCCTCTTCCTCTGCCAGTAGCCAATGATGGGGGCTCTGTAGTTATGATTATCATCGTTCCAGTGGGCTTGCCTCATGTGGTTTTGTTGGTGGGTTGGTGTGGTGTGGCGTTTCTCATTTATATTTAAGATATACATAGACACCTGCGCGTAAACGCAAAAAATGAAACAGAAAAAAAAGCACTGCCCCCGCGCTCCCAACTCCCTCCATTGATCCCGGACATCCTTGGAATCACGAGCACCAATCTCCTGGAGACATGTTCTCCAAATAGCAATGGCCTCCAACTTGCTAGCGATGGCCTCTACCCTAGTAGCGATGGCCTCAAACCTAATAGCAATAGCCGACCCCTTGGAGAGCACCAAGTACTGCGCCTGCCACGCAAATCACACGTGCAGGGCTGCGGCAACCAAGCGACCCCAGGACGTACATCCGACCCCTTGGAGAGCACCAAGTACCGCGCCTGCCACACCGGCAAAGCTGAAGCGACCCCAGGGCGTACATCCGACCCCTTGGAGCACCAAGCACCGCGCCAGCCACGCAAATCACACCCACAGCTGCGGCGACCAAGCGACCCCAGAGTACCGCCCCTGCCACGCAAATCACACCTGCAGGGCTGCGGCGACCAAGCGCCCCCAGGACGTACATCTGACCCCTTGGAGAGCACCAAGTACAGCGCCTGCCACACCGGCAAAGCTGCGGCGACCAAGCGACCCCAGGGCATACATCCGACCCCTTGGAGAGCACCAAGTCTTGCGCCTGCCAAGCAAATCATGGCGGAAGGGATGCGGCGTGCATGTTTGTTGGTGGAAGTTTGTTGGTGGCAGTTTGTTGGTGGATGTTTGTTGGTAGCAGTTTGTTGGTGGCAGTTTGTTGGTGGATGTTTGTTGGTGTTGGTGGCAGTTTGTTGGTGGCAGTTGGTTGGTGGAAATTGGTCGGTGGCAATTGGTTGGCGGCAAGTGGTTGCTGGCAGTTTGTTGGTGGATGTTTGTTGGTGGCAGTTAGTTGGTTGGTGGCAACTAGTTGGTGGTAATTGGTTGGTGGCAATTGGTTGCTGGCAGTTTGTTGGTGGCAATTGGTTGGTGGCAGCTGGTTGGTGGCAATTGGTTGGTGGAAGTTTGTTGGTGGCAAATGGTTGGTGGCAGCCACTTGGTGGCAATTGGTTGGTGGCAGATTTTTGGTGGCAGTTTGTTGGTGGCAATTGGTTGGTGGCGATTGGTTGGTGGAAGTTTGTTGGTAGCAAGTGGTTGGTGGCAAGCAGGAGGCGGGAGGAGGAGGAGGAGGAGGGCGGAGGAGCGGATACCACACTAAAAACAAAAAACACACGTCAATGTGGGGAACAAGTCCATGTCAAAGCCATTCCAAATAAAATTTGCTCAGATGCGATTCAAAAAGCACGAAGGCGTGTGTAGACCTGGGCATGGTAGCGAGATGGTAGCTGCGAACCCTCTGCCAAGATTATTAGGGTCAGAATAATCCTGGAAGCAGGGTCGTGGCATGTCATGTCAAACATGTGTACAGCTGCTTTCGGGCGCACGGCCGAGCACGCTATCCTCCTCGATGGATGGCCATGGGGCAACTTTGGCTGCAAGTCCAGGACCACTCCGTCGAAAGTTCCTCGGATGGCATAATTGGCTGGCTTATGGTCCCTTAGTCTTGGGTTGGTGGGGTACAACAGTCGCTCCTGGCCAGGGCGCTGTTGTTTGGCTGGTGGGGGCTGGCTTTGGGGCGCTGTGCTTCGTTTTGGGGCGCTGGCTGAGCGCGGGGGGGAGATCTGGCTGAAGCAAATCTGTGATGCCCTGGGGATGCCTTGGCCAGCCGGGCAGGGAGGAAACGCTGTACGGAAAGAGCAAGCGGCAAGTGTGGGCACTAAAGGATGAAATGACAGCACGCAACCTGGTCCGTATCGACCCTGAACAGGCAGAGCGCACTCGGAAACTTGGACAGTACACCCTGACGTTTCGGCTAGGTCCGGCTGGCAACCGAGTCGAAAAATACGTATACCCTCAACCCAGTACTTACAGAGGCGAATAGGGCTCGGGGCGATCGCCCTCCGCAGATTCTGTGTTGGCGAGCCAGAACCAGGGCCGAAAAACGTAAGAGGGCTTGGGCGCGGAACCAGGATGCACAGGGTGGGGAGCCCGCAAAGGGACGCGCTCGCGGACGGAGCCAAGGGGGGTGGCTAAGCAAAGGGACGAGGCCGCGGCCGGGGCCGCGGTCGTGGAAGGGACTGACCCTTCTGGGGGGACTTGCCCCTTTTGTTTTTTTCCTCCTGGGCACACCTTGGGTGTACCTTTTTCGGCAGGGCGCTGGTCGGGTACTGGGTGGATGGTTTTGATTGGTTTTCCCCTGCTAGGTCGATCCGTGGGCCGGGGCGCTCATGGCGGGTTTCTCTCGTTCCGCGACCTTCGTGTGTGCCTTAGTTTCTGAGCTACCTACCCCGCAAACACTGACTGACTGACTGCTTTCGGGTGTCCATTGTTCAAACATGGTTTAAACAGGCTTCGATGCTGACGATGATGAGTATGGTTTCTATTTGACTACATATAGAACCATGTACACATACATACCCAGGCCCATTGTTTAAGCTTACATGCACTCATGCATTCTTTGGCTTAAACATGGACTTGTTTAAACATATGCGTTTAAACCGAACGTCAATTAACGTTAATAGTTTAGACCAGAAGGCTGCCCAACCCTGCCTGGAAGTCCTGTGTGCGCGTTCTTCCCTTGACACTGCTGGTGGAATTTCTCCCCTTTGGGCCTGGCATCGGAAACAATGCGCATCCAACCCCCAAAATAACAATTGAAAACAGTATGAATCTCAACTCCACCACTACCACTCGTAATTACCACCGCCACATGTAGAGCAGCCTTGTCCCTGCTTTGCCTGACTCGTCATTAGCTTTCTTTTTTGCATCTTCTCGGCTTTCGTTTTGGCTGCAGCAGCCTCCTTTTCCTGCTTCTTTGTGGCCTCTTCCGCAATCCTGATGATAATTGAAGTGGATATCACAAATAGCAAAAGTCGATGCGTGGGGTCGTAGCAATGTTCAGCTTCTGGAGCCATTTGACCTGTAGAAGTGTGCTTGGTTAGGGTCCCGGTGACCTTCACTTTGAGTAGGCGTTCCAATGTTTAATGGCCCATCACCCATGGCGCCTGGCATCCAACTTTCGAAGCCTTTTTTCTTTGTTGTCTTGATTCTGTTTTCCTTGCCACCAGTCGATGCTGTGTGATCTCTTAGGTGGGCAAGGTACACCTTGACTCACCCTATGGATCTATGGCTATGGGGCGTTGCGTTGCTTCCAACATCATCCAACAAGTCATTCATTTCTCCGGCGGTTCCCGTTTCTGGATTCTAAACTTACCCAACGTTGTCCCAGCCACTTCTTCTTCAGCCTTTTTCATGGCCACCATTGTGCTAGAAAACCTGGAGACTCCCATGGCTGAAGCTTCAGCCAGCTTCTTAAGACAACCCAGGGCAACATTCTGGGCATCAGAAAGACCATGCACTCACTGCACTGCGTGTGCCAAAGGCCATTGAACCTGCGCAAGCAAAACATACAACATGTAACATGGCATGAGATCTTGTGAAAGCTTCTTCAGGTTTCTTTGGTGGGAGATGGGAAGCAAGAATGGAATCATGTCAATTGTGATTCCTTACTTGGACAACTTCAAGAACATCCAGCATCTTACACAAGAAGGCTGGGAAATTGTATTTCTTGCAAAAGTCAGGACATGGACTCTGGACTCCAAATTCCAAGCCTTCCATGGAGAAATCTCAAAGTGTGGATGTTCCCGGCGTGCTCTTCAATTCCTTCACGCAAGAAATGATCCGCAAGCCTGGGTTGCAACGCATGGAAGAACAAGCACTGGAAGAAGATGCGCCATTGGCAAAGCAAATAAACAACGCACCAAAAAGCGCATCGCGTTTTCATTTTAGCAGGCTGGACATTGTCAATCCTGAGGTTGTTTAATCTGTCCAAGTGATCTCACAGTGAAAGGGTTGTAAGCAAAGCAAAGCAGCGCACATGTTCCCCTTGCTTTCCTGCCCTTGCCTATCATGCAAACACTTCAAACTTCATTCCGTCGATCATATTTTTATGTTGAGCATCTGATCTGTTTTGTCTCATGAATCATGGGAAGAAAAAACACATTCCCTTCCCTATGCCAGGAACCTCAAATGCAATCTACTGACAAAGGTTCAGGATCTGGCTCCCAAACCCACGCTTCCTCCACTGGGGGCGACGAGTCCACATCAAAAAAGCATCCAGTCTGAACTTCCTCCGGTCATGGTGGATGAACTGGGGCAGTTCTTGTTGTCAGGTAGCTCCATGGATGACAGCAAGTGCTTGAACTCTCCATTGCCCAAGCACTTGGCTGTTTCCAAGACCACTGACAACCGGCTGTTGTTCTGCACATTCGAACTCAAGGCTCTCAAACAGGGAGCTCACCGTGTAGGGGCCTTGGCCCCTCCTAAACCCACTTTCTCGTTGCGGTGCCACCTCAGCCTCAACCTCAATCCCTTCATGAAAGGACCGCACCTCGGAGTGTCTAGAAGGATTGGAGGATTGCTCTGAATCAACAAATAAATGTATCTTATGGGTCTGGAGACTGGCAGACTGGAGGCCCATGCTTATGTTCAAACAAAGGCTGACCAGGTGCCAGGTCCCCCTGATTCTTTACAACGCTATCATTTGGGGTCGAACTAGCCAGCCAACATTGGATTCAATATGGTTCAATTCACCAGCACCTGCAAACTTTGGTACCCACCGTGCTGCTTGACTGATGGCTTACTCTCAAAAGAGCGTCCTTCACCATCCTTGCTAGAAATTGAAAATCTTCTCTAAACAACGGTGGACATGTAGAGGTGGGAGTGGGAAGAAAGATTGACTTGTCCTTCACACTAGTCCAGCCACCCCACCGCCAAGCTCCTGAAATGCCATGGAGCTTGTTCCAGCGTGCCAGTGACAAGCACCGCTCCAGAAGCTGCCGCGAAAAAGCACTGTATGCCAAAGCGGTGGCAGCTACATTGGACAACGCTTGGCTCATGGTAGTGAAAGCAAGTTGATCAAATGGTGTAAACAAGTGGTCCAAGTTCTAGGTATAAGAGTAGTCAAGTCAAGTAGTCAGGTAAGAGTGGTCTCATGGTAGTAAAGTAGTCATGGTTCCAGGCTGGTTCCAGGTCAAGTAATCAGGTTCCATATCTATTGAAAATAGTTTACTCACTCACGATTCATTCATGATAAAACATGCAAATATGGAGTTCAGGCTCGGGCAACGACGGGCCGGCTGTACGACGGGCACGCGCACGGGCCGACAGGAAAACCTGGGTTTTGTCTCATGCCTCGCCTTGTTTGTTCATTCCTTATTTCCACAAAAAAATCCATAGTTCCACACTTTTTTTTTGGCTTTCCTTATTTCCAGCATGCTTGAGGAAACACATGATTCAGGCCCATGGTCATTTCTGTGTTCCGTCCATGCTTATTCATCCTTAAGTGCCATTGCGCTTCTTTTCAACCTGAACTCCGACATGACAAGTATATCTGGAAATATATTCTGGCATTCTTTCAAATTGGTTCAGGTCCGGTGGTGCCCGTTGCGATCTGGCGCTCGCGGTTCAGGCCCCCTGGTGCCCACAGCGACCTAGCCCTCGCGGTTGAGGTCCGGTGGTGCCCAGTGCGATCTGGTACCTGGTACTTGTGGAGGAGGTGAGGAGGAGGAGGAGGAGGAGAACAAAGCCAGTCACACGACAAGCAAGCTCGGTTTGCTTCACACTCCCTGAGAGAATTGGCAACAGTGGTTACACGCAATGCTTGACCCTAAGAGGCTCGAAAGCCGTGAAACATGCTTCTGCACGGCACCAGGCCATCAGGACTGCACCCGCATCTCAGGGCCCCTGCTGCGATGAAAGGCATCTGCCGGAAGTCTGGGCCACCAAAGCGCGGCATCAAGGCGTTCTACAAATCTTTGAGACGTATGCCGTATGACGCATTACTCGAGAGCAAAACTACGCGCCTATGCTTGCTGCCAGAATATATAAAATAAGTATTTCCAGTAGATTCAACATATCCCTGATGTCTTCCTTTGCCTTTGAAGCACCGGCAAGGTCTAAATACATGTGCCAAGCCAATCTGAACGATCATGACACCGTAAGAAAAGCATCTTCATAAATCCAAGCATTGCCAATACCCAGCACAACAGCTTGCTCTTCGATTGCTAAGGCTCATGCAATCCGAAGTGGTGGCGACAGATTGGCTGGAGGACCCTTCTGAAGGGGTCTTGGCGTGCTAAAGCAGCAGCAAACTCATCTTGTGGTGTTTTAAAAGCACAACCAAACCATCGCATCATAGTCTAATTGCAGTATTTACTCCTACTTACATAGGAGCTGTTCTTTGAATGTCACACTTCCCTCCACTTTGCTGCCCACAGTGCGCATTACTGAGCTTGCAACTGCCCAAATAATGTGGGCCTTCGATAAACGCTTCCACTGCTGCCAGTTGCAAAGTGGAATCTGTGCTTTAAATGCAGGTGCCCATTCCCAACTAAAGGCGGAAACATGCTACCATACTCAAGGCGACTTGACAAACCCACTATCAAAAGTGGACAATGACAAAGGCAACTCGAACACTTCGACCAAGGCAATGAAAGACTGACCAAAAAAACTACCATAGGGCATACAGCTTTGAATGCGACGTTGTATTGAAATAGCAAGTAGAACCAGCGTGAGAAACAACAACGGCATCCACAGCAATAGAAAAACAACAGCATTCGACTACCATATTACATTGTAAAATATTGCGCAGTAATATTTATTGTGCATGCATGCATTTCTTGCGCAAATACTGCAAGAACTCGTCCCAGTATGTTGGGCATTCAAATTGAGTACTGGAGGTTGTCCGGGTTCATTTCCATAGTGCTTTCCATGGTCTGCAACGGCACCCCTCTTACCCTGTCACTAAATTACATGTCCAGGTGGCATGATGATCACCTGGACCTGTGCCCTGCATTGCGAGTAGCCTTGGCTTTTGTCACGGAAGACTGTTGCAAAGGCCATTGGCATGTTGTTGGATTCTGTTGGTAAGCATTCTTGAACACAGCTTTCAAACGCAAACATCAGTCAATGACAATCACCGTTTCAGCTGGTCAGTCCAAATACTTCTAATATATATATATATATACAGTATATATACATAATATCCCCTAATCTCCTGCATATATATATATATAATGCCTTCAGCATCTAGTTACGTAATGGTCTTGACTCTCCTTACTTTCTCAGTAAAAAAACCTTCAAAACTTAATGGATCCCTTCTTCCGAATGTTGGCCAAGCTATTTTTTTCTCCACATAGCTCGCGTTGAGCTGTGCTGGTGGAATGTTCTTAGGAAGGTCTGGTCCAACATGACCTCCTGACCGCCCAGAGCAACAGCCACAAAGGATGACTAATTTTGAAGACCGTGGGCCTCTTCATTCAAAACCACACTTGAACACCGCTGCCTGACGGTGGGGGGGCTCAGTTGCGACACCAAATTGTACCTAGATCGGACTCATTTGCGTCATCAAATCTGACTCATTGGCGACGCAACATGGGTTTGGGGAACGTCGTGATGGAGAGATACGCTGCGTTACAACCGAGCAACCGCGTCATATCCGAGAAAAACGGTCCACGTCACATCCGAACCGAGACTCTTTCCTGCCCAACCACCCAACCAAGGTGCAAACTGAAAGCTGGTGAGCGGCCGGTGAGGACCAGGAAGATTGATAAGCTCAATTGGACCACCAACGTGGAAGGGAGGAAGGGCTCATACAGTAATTAATTCTCCAGTCCTTCGGTCCTTCGGTCCTTCAGGCAAGGCCTCCAATGGACAAATTCTGGTTTCTGAGTGCCAAATGGCATAGCAAGCAAGTTGGCTGGGTATCTATATATTCTATGGGAGATGCAGCTATGTACTTCATGGATGGAGAATCTGTGAAAGCCGTGAAACGCAACAAACGGCAACAAAGGCAAGCTCCAGATTTGTCGAATTGCTAACGCTAATCGTGGCTGCGAGCCAAACTCCTGCGTCGATTCAACGATGCCTAGCATGTTGATGTCGCGCATGTTGTTGTCGCGTGTCAAGCCAAACAAGAACTTGTTTCAAGGTCCTGAACTGGCCGCAAGCGGTTGACTGGGAGGCTTCGAAATGGACAATGCAAAACTAAGTTGAGGAGACAAACAGTGTCCAGAATCTTCGGTGAACGAGGCCTGATTGATTGGAATCCACACTTGCAATTCAACTCCTGTTTGTAATATAAGACCCTTTCTCTGGTTTGCTGCGAAAGTGTCCATGAAGGCTGAAAGAAGCAGCAGAAGCATTCCGCGGAAGGGCGGGTCCAAATTGAAGCAATAATTCGGGTGTATGTATCATTGGCAAGGAAAGTTCCTGACAAACTGTGATGTGTCCAAGTAAAGTAGCCCAGCTCTTCACACTGCTTCACGTGTCACTCTCACAGCCAAGTTCAGAACAGCTCTGCTACAAGGTCGAGCTTGGCATGGCTCAGCAGCGCGCTCCCGCAAAGAGCAAAAGAAACACAACCGAAGCAAAACTGTCAAAACACATGAACATAGGAGTTCGGCAATCATTATCTCGCCCAGGCAACAACTACAGTACAGCAACTTCCTTCCGATCAGCACAGTTCCTCTGCCAAGAAAACGTTCGACCACTCATTATCTTATGGCATACTAGTACCTGCATCAACGCCTTTTCTGACATGACCTTGTCATGAAGTGGCGGAAGCAGCGATGATCCCATGTGCTGGATTGACCCATCAGCCGATCCAAACCAAACAAAGTTTCGCACGTCCGACGTATCCTGCGACACTACACAGGTAAAGAGCCTGTCTCTCGTCCCAACATGGGATCGCTTGTCGGATATCATGCTCAAGCTGCATGATTTGGTCCTGGCATGTCCTGGCAGCTTTGTCCGCCATGGCACCAACCTTTCTGTTATATAAATTCTTTCAACTCATATAGCCGTGGACATGGATCCCCGTGCTTGAAGGGTTCAAATCAGAGTCCAATTTGATGTCGATCACTTTCCAGCTGCCCTGGTATGCAAAAGTAGATGAAGAATTGGTGCACACTGGGCAAGGCAGTGGCAGTTGTATGCAATTGTGGCGTGAGGTAATCCCAGTCCTGGCTCTTGCAGCTATGTACACTTGCTTAATTTCATGAATTGATCCGTTTGCCAGACGAAGCGTCTACACACATTGTGGGCCTGTGTCGCTTCGAGATAAGCCAAATGTTGGCATTACAGTATCATTCTGAGTACGTTGCTTCCACATGTTTGGAATTGCAGGCCCCTCAGAATGCCAAAGTACAAATTTTGATCCTGCTTCATCTGTTTCAAACGGAATGTTGCAGCAGGCCGGATGGCCCATGTTCACCTGGTACCTCAAGGGCGGTAGGAGCACTGGAAAACATGGCCAGCCAGGTTTCACTAGTTTCCTTGGTCCACGATTTATTGAAAAAAGATGATCTTGGCACATGCGTAGGAGCTTGTTCTGCAAGTTCTGGAGGCTCCAAGCAGCTAAGCTCCCCGCCATCTGGCAGGAAGATCGGCTGCGGCGTGAGAAGTGTTCCTTCGGCTCAAGGAATGAGAACTGGCTACTTCACATCCATCAACGGTATCCACCATTCAGGGGAGTGAAGGCACAAACATGTTGCAGCAGTTAACATGCTGGCTCTGTGAGGAGGCTTGTCCGTGGATCAAAAGGGGGTCACGAGGCTTTCTATGGCCGAAGTTCACTTGGATGCAGCCGAGCAGCCCAAGTGCGCAAGAATCACACAACAACCATAAATCAATCTAGCAGTTTGGAACAAAAAGGGGGTGACTGGACAACATGAACAAGCAAATTCCAACAAACATGCAAAACCCCCTTGTTGACAAAGTGCTCTTTTTCATCTTTCAATGCAGAGTCGGGCACTCAATCAATTGTCATCGTGTGCCATCTCACGTCTCCATGCGTCAGCCCTCTCAAACTCCCTGCGCGCAAAGAAGCATAATCCAACTCAGTTCTTTCTAAGCACATCATGTCTGAGAAACAGTGTTCCGCACATGCTGCACTGAGGATACTTGACGGGCCAATCGATAGCCGATGTCTCTGTGGTATTGTTGCTCAGCTTGCTTCACTTATTTTCAACGCGTACTCCCCACAGAAAACATAAAGAAACATAAAGAAACATAGCTCAACCTGGACCTGAAATATTTCAAGGCCCGTGCCTTTGGTTTTTCGTGTGGAAGTACTCCTGCTCGTGGCCGTTTCCCCGAACTTTCCCGTCCCATCGGTATCCAGGCTTGATGTCCTTGGATTTTCGGATCAGGCGAGCTGTGGGCGAGAGATGGTGAACCAAAGCAGAATTCAGTTGCCCGCCCGCGTTCCAGGGAAGCTTAAGGCAAAACAGCTTCTTGCTCTTCTTCACTTAACCCCCAAGGCCAAGAAAGTACTGTGCAAGATTATTGATACTTGGCAATGCGCACTTTGGTCTTCACCCTGCTGAAGTAGTGTGGAAGCAAACATTGGTCGAATGAATGCGACGCACTTTTTCCGTAAGGTCTCGTTAGCAGTAGCAAGGTAAAGTGATTTTGTATGATTTTGTTCTCTTGTGTGACATGGCCCAAATGATTCTGCTGGACACGCGGCACACTTCCAACAAGCCCTTGAAATCCCTGAACCATCCTCGGTGCCGGGCAGCGTATCTGTTTTGCCAGGGCGGGTGAGGACACTTTGGCCGCTGAACTGCCTGAGTTTTTTGAAGACCAGGTGCAGTCACCTGGCCGGGTGAGGCAGAAAGACTCCAGTGAGTCAAACACATGTCTGACACTTCAGCGTAAAGATCTCACAGAATGCTTGGTGGCTGCTGTTGCTGCTGTACTGTTCGCGTTGTTGCTCCAGGTCGCTCCTACCCCACTAAACCTTAACAGTGCCAACACTTTGTTCGATAAGAATTAAAATTTGGTAAGCCAAAGAACATCAGTGGAACTTTGCATCTCTTGGGTTGGAAAAGCATTCGACTCAACAAACTCAATGTGATGATTTTTTCCTGCTGGTCGTTAAAAACGGTTAAAAAGGATGTGAAACACAAAGACTTCGAACCTTCCAGGTCCAATTCTGGCCTGGTCCTCCTCAAACTTCCGCATGGGATCATTCCAGTCTTGCTTTGCTTTCCTCAACTGCACAGTCCGCCCAAAAGAAAAAATATATAAGGTATATATTATATAAATCATACAATCAATCAGTACTGTTGTGGATGCAACATGATGTACAGTAACTCTCTTGCTGCTCCAAGGGTCAATTCTTTCATGTATTTCTCATCTGGCTCAAAACGAGCAAATGGCTGTGCAGCTATTCTTGACAACTCCTCCTTCTCAGCCTCCTGGTTGTCACGCTGTTTGAGTCCGCCGCCCCATTCCAGCTCCTGTCAGGTCTGGAGTTTCAGCGCCCGCGTTCACCCAACGTCGGGACTTGCTAAGGGGGCAACAAGAACATGCCACTCACACCTTCAAGCCCAGAGCATGCGGTCCTGTTCAGGGTAGTCTGCTACTCTCTTCTTCTTTTTCTTTTGTTGCAATTCTACCCATTCTTCGCGGTCAATGCGCCTACCCTCCCGATTTCTGTACACAGTCTGGGCATTGCGGTCGTTTGTGGCCGCCATTTCTACTGAGCCAATATCTGCGGAGCCTTTATGTAAGATATCATAAGATCAACAACAAATAGCGGGTCCAATTTCGAAGTGGCCTTCCTGGAGCCAGCGGTGATGCTAGATCAAATCATTCGGGGGCCGCCACCGTACCACAGCTGAAAACAGTAAAAAGTCCAAGAGATGGATTACCATCATTAGCCCTTTGCCATTTCATGGCATTTCCGCGGGTCAACCGCTTGGCGACTTAATGCATCTGGTGGTGTCATGTGATGTCAACCAGCAAACGCACTTTGCAGGAGTCTTCCGAAATGGATGGAGGATGGGCGTGTCCGTGAGAGTCCTCAAACAGGATGTTGAGACCCCGGTAGATTAATTAGCCATTTACCTGACTGCAGTAGCATCAGAAATTGTCAAATGTTTTGAGGCATATATTTTGCCCCGCGAAACCATCTGCCTGAATGCCAAAACAATTCAAACACCATAGCAAGAAAAGATGCTACTTATCTTCCTGCCTCAAGCTGCGGCAGCCAAAGGCAAGGCATGACTGTTGCGCCGGTAGTCCAAGACCTGAGCATCCCCAACACCAGCTTTCTAAATTCTATACTTTATGCGGTTGTGGACTTTCATGGCTAACAATCAGCGACCCGTTGCCGCACTTGTCTCTGGTCTGTTGATGCCTTTGGTTGCCTAGTCATGCCTATTCTCCACCCACTATCACAGGCCCAAACATATTAAACACGAGCACCTCAGTGGACAAAACTGCAACTACACATATACATACCGGAATTAATGATTGCTTTACAGAAAACACACAAAAATCTATAATATATAAAACGATAAAACATCCAAAACTAAATACCCCTCCATATAATATTACATAATATTACATAATTATAGCGGAAAAAGGGAACCACATGGAAGTTCATGAAGCTATTTAGACATGCGGAAGGACACACGTGTTTGTGCCATCTACTCTGAGCCACTGTACTGGAAAGGGGTTCATACTAAACGTCCTTTTCTTCTCGCCCCGGAGAAATCATGATGCTCCTCAACGAATCAGGCAAGCAAGGGTTCGCCGCTCCGATCAGCCTGCAGGTCATTCCTGGCTTGCAGAGCATGTTCCACCGCCCGGATCTGGGATGATGTAAACCACAAGCGCTTCCAAAGATTCCTTTGGGTGACTGAAGCGTACCAGCGAAAACGTGCTTGGCATGGGTCATCATTTTGGTTTGTGAGCGGGTACGGCGCTGCCCTCTGATCATACTACAATCCATTCATCGCCGACAGGATGCAGTCTACAGTAATTTCAATGACACCTCCTCCAAGCTCACCGTCATGAAAATGCTCCAGTATAATTATGCACGAAGGAACCTTGATTGGACGTTTTTTTCATGCGCAAAGGTCTGCTGCGAATGATGAGCTTCCATGGCGTGAAACAACAAATTGAATGGCCACGTCATACAACAATACCACTGTTCACTGATTTAACAATGCGTTCAAAACTGCTTGCAGCCGGTTCAGGCTTGTGTTCCAATAACAGCTTGCACCAGGCTAAAAGGCTCTTTATGTTCACTTGGTCCTATGATATCCTACGCTTGGAAAGTCAGTCCGTCGCGCTTTTCCTACACCAATGCATGAGTTGGTGGGACATCAACCAATCAACCATTCCAGTCGATCGGTCGCTGAGGGCCTCTGGACTTCAAAACGTACCTTTTTTGGAGAACCTTTCCTTTTCCTGCAATGTTTTCCTGCGACGTTCCATCTTTTTCCACCACTTCGTTCTTGTTGAGACCATGCTCTCACTCTTACAGGTCAGCCCTCTGGCTAGCCGGCGGGAGTAGTCAAGTACATGACACTGCACTATATAATCGATCCCTTTCAGTCCCCTCTGGTGAAGCAGCCCAACCTCTCGCCACTTAGCCAACATCATCTTTAACAAGAACAGGGCTGTTCAGGCCGTTGCGAGTTGGTCAAGGGTCCTGACCCTGACTGTGGAGAATTATAAAACAAGTAAGTAGGCCGGCTCCTCCCCAGTCAGGCTCAGGGCAAACTCCTTTCCAAGTTAGCATAACTTTTCGCCTCCAACATCGTCTGATCATGACGTTGTATAACGAAGCAATATCGCACTCAACTTCATTCATGCAGCAAATGTGGCCGTGGCAATCACGGCGCACGCTGTGCTACAGGCACTTGGAGCCTGTGTAAGAAACCGTGAAATTACCCACTACTAAGAGCTTGAGAAAATAACAATTGTTATTCAAGGTGCATGCTTTTGGGCTGCCAGGATTCTTCAATGAAACAATATTAATGCGGCCCCACCCCACCCAAAATGGGCTACCTGACCGTCTGACCCAGCAAAACGACACATTGAAAGTTGAAAGAATGCTTCCCCATCTGAAGCTTGTGTGGTGGAAATTCGGTTCTAATTGTCCCGTTCCCCACAAATGTTATACAACTTTTCGTGCTTCGCTGTCCACAAAGTCGCCTGTTCGATACAAATCCAGTTGTATCCATGGATTTCAACTGACTAAATGAGTCTGCACTTCTGCGCAACAAGGATCTGATCTACCCATTGAGTTTCGGACAAAAATGAACTTGTTGCTTGTTATTTTCACCTGCTCATTGATAGCAGAAACAATCCCTCGAAAAGGTTTGGACAAATCAGCCACTTTGCTTTAATAGTTTCCCAGCGTACCTGGTGACACAATCCCACAAGCTTGACTATTCATGGGCAAACTACTGTCCCAGAGTCTGGACTCGCAATCTGCTGACCACATGTTTCCAGTAGTTGGCCCAATCGGCTGCCTCTCTCTCTCTCTCTCCCTTCCTCCCTCCCGTCGAGACTCCCTACAAATATCAAACGCTGCACCGACATTTGTGATGATGAACACAAAAAAAGAAAAGAATGCCTCCACATGTGAAACAAAATTGCATAAACAGTAGGACGTCAAGGCCCCTTTGAAGGGGGCTGACAATCAACGTGTCATCTCTTTGACTTTTCGTGTGCCGCAACAACTGTCGGAATTATCAAGGGCTCTGCTCACTGGGTCCCAAACGCTGAGAAGCATCTCCGTCTCTTTGCTTGAAAGGCGTCCAATCACCTGGCTGACCGCTCACTAAACACCATGCAAATCCATGCAACATGTCACAACTGACTCAAATTGTCAAACCAACCTGTGGTGTTGCTGTTTCTGGCACTGATGGTTTGATAGTGGCTGGGGGTCATTTAAAGCGGATCTCAACTATTCTGCTTTATATACTAAGACCCCTGAATAAGTGTGTCCAACGTCAACTCCTCGAATTCACTTGTATTGTATTGCATTCCATTGCATTGAAAATAACTGTTATCACTTTAAAATGCGCCAGCACAAGGCCAGGTTCACCGCTTGCCGATTGCCCGACTGACTCGGGTCTCTTGAATCGATGTCAGCAACTGCCGAACACATTGAGATAAGGCGGTCATCAGTGGATGCCTCATAAAACTACTAACTACGCTTCTTTGCGCCTCTCATCACACAGCCAGCTTGCAGCCATGCAGGGCAAACAAAGGTGGCATGGATCGGGGCAGCATGAATGGCTTCGCCACAGAGATGGTGGTAGCTCTGGCAGCTATGGGAAGGCAGCAATGGCACTGGGAACAAAGTGCTCCACCTTTATTGGAAGCCAGAGATGAAACCAAACGACAGGATTTGCCCCACTTGTGGTGATCACCAGCTGCCCAGCAACACCAGTAAAAAGCATCATGAGAGAGACAAATGATTATTATCTTCCCTCTCCAACTAGTGCATGTCAAGTTGACACAAGTTTGGCCACCCAGGATTGCCTGAAATTTGTACTACAAGATATGTCAGCCATGAGATTATGAAGATCGAGAGCGAGTGTGGTGGAGATCCTGACTTGCTTGGGCAGGCACTACATCAACCAGACTTTGTGGAAATCTGAGAAGGTACGCTTCCCAGTCAATCAAGACGCTTCGTGATTTGCAACCAAACAGTTCAATGTATGAATGGCACATGAGCGAACATGAAAATGCATCGTCTTGGGGCTGCTAGTGGTGTTGAGCTGGCAAACCAGTATGGCAAGATCTCGAGGTCCATTGCCGAGTACTGGCTCAGGATGGGAGTCTAGCCAGCTTTGACAATGCATTAATTATGATACATGACACCGCTTCTAGAGCAAGCAATATAGATAATAGATACCCTCATGATGAGGGGAATTCCAGTATGTCTTTGACGTCGAAGTTCTGTTCGATCCCTACTCACTCAGGTGCCGCAACACCGTCTTACAGTGCACAAAACACACCTGAATTCACCTGGTGACATCAATCAGTCGGCAATGAAATTTAACATCAAGGTGCATGAAGTGCAGAGTCAAAGAACGATTGTCCTTGACTGTGGGATGACACTGAGTGGGGCATGGGTGCTTCTGGCGTGGGGACGTTCCTTTGGGATGTGCATAAATTCTGATCTCAAGCAACGATTTTCTGAAGCTTGTGGTGCTCAGCCTGCAAACCTATGGCAGGCATTGACTGCTGCAACCACCTCCCATTAGAGGAATGGATCCCGTAAATTATTCCAAATTACATATATATATATAAGTTGCTGACATATTCAAGTTGTATATACATAACGATACAACAGCGGGCAAGATCATCGACTGGCAAGCATGGTCTTCTTGCTATTCTTGTGGATAGGTGGGGAAGACCTTTCGACTTTCCAGCCATTGTTTCATCAGCAATTTCGTTACGTCAACACGTCATCAAAGACCTGAGTCGGTTGAGTTGAGGAAAGCCAGCAGTCTAGTGTTGAGGTGTCAGGCAAACACCTGACCTGTGAGAGCACCAAATCATTCGATCTAATCAGCAAGGTAGGAGAGTGCCCACCTAGTGATTTTGGTCAAGATCATCCGCAATGGTTCGAAGCCACATCATGCTGTGCAAGAGGTTTCTTTCTGGCTGACGTCAAACCTGGATTCCTGGTGGTGTTTCCAAGCCCTTGCCCGCAGCTTGCGGCCTCATCTTTGTGGAAACAATGAATCTTGACCTCTCATGACCCTACAGTTACAAATGAACAGCTCAGTGTTCGATTCTATCATCTTCATTGGCCCATTGAGCTTGTGATCCCTGATCCATGACCTCGAATAGCCTCAAAAAAGTATAAACATGTCATTAGCGGCTATTCGTTCACAAACAAGCTGCTAAGCTCCTATTTCAATGGATCATCACCGTTTCATTGTGTTTCATTGGCCTTCTGTCTCACTTTCTGAGTCGCCCTTTGAAAGCTCTTCTGGGGTTGATCTGTCACTGAACACTCAAGTCTCAAGTCTGATAAAACCTGATTTCCGATGTCTTGAAACTGTGCACGCCCGGGGTGGCCTGCCGGGCATCGGAGTCTTGGCCTTCACTGACCTGGAGCGCGGAAAAGAATACGTAGGTCTGGAGGATGTCAGGGTCATGGCCACAAGGCATGGAGACTGGTTATATAGTTTATGGAGCTTTCGTAGAATTAAAGGTGTCTAATCAATTTAGTTTCGCAGCTGGGTCTCTGCAAAGCGCTTGCAACAATGCAGACTTGTCCACTGTCAATCATGTGGCGGCTGTTGTCATTTCATTTTTTGGGGGCGGGTTTGTGGTGTAACAGTTAAAAACATACTACCTCTGGTAAAGTTAGTTCCAGTGGTATGTTTTCACTGCACAGCTGGTGATGTGGTGGGGCTGAAGATGGTTCTTGATTGAAGACATGTATATATATAATGCATTAATACATCTGACGTCTTTAACGCTGAAATGGTATGATATGCATATAGCTGGTGACTTTTACTGCCGCATAGTTGATGTAGTGGCGCTTTCAGACCTAGTGGCTGGTTGGTTCCTGCTCGCGAAGCGAGTTATTTTAAATGCACTTTGGGACTTTGGGCTGACTGGTAGTAGCCTTTGGTGAATTGAGCACCAAATTTCTGTACACTACTGGATCATTGCAGTTCTGGCCACGTGAAAGCTGCATTTTTTGGGTTGTACGCCGTAGTGCAGTAGCCTGCGGATGTGCACTAAATGTTCCGACCAATGCCGACATGGTTGGGACAAAGACTGTTAACATGGAATCAACACGACCAGAAGGGGCCTGGGTGAGTTGAGCCGTGAGCTCCCCTGACAAGTTCTTGTCAAACAAAGAGCACCTACAGACCTACAGCTAGCAAGAGCTTGCTCTCGTGAGAACTGCATGTTTGTATGAATCAAGAGCCTGGTACCTTCCTTCTCCTTTCAGGTCATGCTGCACACACAAGGCGCGGACGGCTGACTTCAACAAACACTTGGAATCTGGCAGTGAGATGTCCCACCTGGCCAAACTAGGAGGAACATGGAAGAACAGCTTGACGGCTTCATTCATCAAAGTCTGCTAGTGACAATTGCATCGCTAATTACAAGTAACAGGTGTATCGCTACTAGTAGCTCATGACATGACCAGTAATGAGGCATTCGCTGGATCTCACGAGGTTGTCAATAAGAGCGCAAGGCGAGAATCAGCCACAACCTACATCTTTTCCGACCCCAAAACGAGACTTGTTTGGGCGCACCCCAAGCAAGGCGTCCTTTAATTAAGCCTTTGTCGCCTAGATATTTATATATAGTGTCGGACAACCACTTAACTTAGAACAATTTTTTTCACAACAAAGATCCAAAAAGAATAAGAGCCACATAGAACATGCCGAGGACCCCACACATAGAACAAAAAATCAGCGTTCTAAGCCTTGTTTTTAGAACAATTGAAACCCCTGCACTTTGAATATATACACGCTCATATGAGTATATGTAGGCACATTATTCATTATTCAACTTTCAGGCTGCATCCAGCTCTTTCCCCAAACCATGCATGCTGCATTTGTGCTTTTTTGGCCTGGGAACGTGCTTCCAGCATTCTGCTGCCAAAAACCAGCAAAACATAGAATTGTATATTATATACACATATATAAATATATACACACAGTACATGCATGTACATGCTGTTGTCTATCATGTTGGAGAAAGGGTGAAGTAAACAGAAGGTTGGACGGACAAGCACTTAGAACAAATCTAGATAAATTTAGAAAAGTGATGGATTCTGCTTGTTCTAAGTGATGGGTTCTGCAGCTCTGTTTTTCGACGTTCTAGACGTTCTAAGTGTCATGCTTTAGCAGCTCACTTTCTTGTTTATTTGTCACCGATTTGTTCTAAGTGATTGTCCGTCACTATAATTCTGATCAGTCTTCCTTGTGAGTTGAAGATGTTGAAGACGCAATCCAAAATTGAATTTGTCATTTTGACTGATCTTTCATGCTGAGTCGTTTTGAGTCTTTCATGTTGGATCTTTTTGGTCACCTTCAGGATTGGACGGTCTCTGCCTTGGAGGAGGCCGACACCTCGGGAGAAGCAGATTCGCCCCGATGATCTCGGACCTGTCAACCAGCCCAGGGGGCTGCCAGCTCGGGCAAACAAGTCATCCGTCTCAGCCCCTCTTGTATATAACTCTAACCCTTTGCAACAATGTTGAGGTTGAACAAAAAAGAACATGCAAGAGATTTACAGTACATATCATCAATCCACTTCAAAGAGCAAGAAAGCTTCTATGAGCAAGCTCATGGTTCACAGTGAGCTCTCAAAGTGGTGTCCAAGCGATAGAGGCACCACGGATCTATACTCTGGGTGCTTTCTGGCAAGCGCTTCAAACGCAACTTGGAAGGAGGTGCAGCCAAAAAGAACAAAACAGAAACACGCACCAAATATCGGTCTACATATATATATATACATATAATATATATACACGGGGTGGAAAGTTGTTGGCGCAACTCAAAACAATAGCGGGAACAGCCGCGCCATGTATCTCCTTTTTATCGCTAGTCTTTGAATTGCAGAACATTCAAATAATGCGGGATGTTTGAGTTTTCCCTATTTCCAAACAAATGGGGCCTATAGATGCCCCAATGGCCAAGTTCTGTACATTTGGCCTGCCGGCTGCAATCTGGCTATAATGTGAAGAAGAGTGTTACAGTATATAAATACTGTAAACATCTGTAAAAGTCAGTGTTACAGTACTACCTACTACGTTAGGGAAATGAAAGTACGGTGCCAGTTGCAGTCTTGCATTATGCAACTGTTTGGCGTTTTCCTCAGCAGCATAGGTGCTCAAAAGAAACATGTTTGTCACGCCAGGGGAGCAGTATATGTATGAGCCTCTTGAAAGGGGATCCCATGAACTCAAATTTTAGAAATCCATATAGTTTGTCACACCCATACTGATTCCTTTCCTTTTGATTATTTTTGGTGTCCTTTTAATTTCTCTTTGATGTCCTTTTGATTCCTTTTGATTTCCTCTTTCGGAGGTCCATAAGATGGAGCGGTCCCAATCTCCGCTATTTTCCACAAAATAGCGCACAAAATAATGGAGAACCCTTTCTGCTTTTTTAGCCACGGGGCGCATAGATGGCGCAACACACCTGAATGCCCCTGATACCTAAACCTGGCGCAATAAGATATAATTACTTCATCAATTTTGTCGGAGTACACAACCCGACCGGCACACAGCGCATCAACACGCTTGGCATGAGGAGTTACAAAATACGCCATAAGAGCGCAAAACACTGAGAAGCGCCCCCCAAAAGACTTTGTTGTGGAACATGAAAAGGAGTTCTGCGAATCTGACGAATCTGATCTGGTATATGGTGAAGCTCAAGGGTGCTAGCAGTCAGCCTGTGTATATCATCTTTGTCCAGTCAAGAATATGGCAATCAAGTCTCAGGTCACGTTAAGCTTTCCAAAAACTCCAGAAACCATAGTGACAGGAGAACCAATATGTTCGGAGTATCAAAAAGGTGCCTTCCTTGAATGAGACCCGGGGTGGACCGGGGTGGAACGACAAAAACCCTTTTAATGCAGATTGCCACACACCCGGAACACCTTGAATTGGACACAGCTCGAGTCAGCTCGAGCCAAACAATCTTGATCTGTCTTGAGAGCCAAAATGCTGGGACTTTCCAGGTGAACTCCAAACAAATTGTGTACGTGTGCGATGCAACTTGGACACATATATGACATTTCATGACACATATGATGATCAAACATGAATAATTATGGTGTACCAAGCCTTGCTGATGAGCTTCCAGAGTGCGCAGCCATCGCTCTCCTCGCTACTTTACAGAGGTGCGGAAACTAATGAAAATGTTGAGCAAGATTGGCCATCACCCTACTGCACACGGCATTCCGTGCCTTGAACAAAACTCACATTGTGAAAGGACAACTTGGCTGTCTTACTAAATTGCTATTCCAAACACTGCCTGCTGATGCTAGCGGAGACGGGCAAACTACAGTAAATCATAAACAAATGCCTTCCAGCACTGGGCTGCACTGTATCTAAATCTGTCGGTGTTCATCTCCTGAAGCGAATGATGGATGTCACGCTGGACCTGGCGACTCGTGACAAGCGGAGAAGCAAGTTGAAAATCGTCTTTCAGGGCCTTTGTTAATCCTTTCCACCCATAAAAAGAACATCCGGTGTCGTTGTTGTTGATAGTGGTCCCTAAAATAGGAGGAACCGCAAGAATGGACACCTGCAAAACTATTGCAAAACTGAAAAGCCCTGGGAAAGCTTTATATTAACAAAACTCCAGATCGAAGGGTCCTCCTGTTTCCCCTAACGAAAACCCGTTATTAAATAGTGATCAGTTGAAATATGCTTCGTTTGTAAACTGTTCAGACTAAAAACACCAACTTTGTGTGCGAATGCGGCGGGGCACGATTGGTGGTGATTCTAGTGGGCGGGTACCTACAATGAAAAAGAACAAACCCAAATTTACTGATGAAGGCGGCAATTTTAAAAACAAATATAAAGTGTATTTCGAGGTCTCCGAGATGAGTTTTGTTTAATTTGGTATAGGTGTTTTCTTTTTAAATAGGCACTCGAGATTAATGCATATGTATTTATACCCCTCACGCACCTAAAAGGAGCACTTGCGCAAGAATATGTGATGGCACGTTTAAAAATTCCCGCTCACCTGGATCTCAAAGATTCAATCACCTGGCTAAAACAACAAGTCATTACAGTAGTAGATCAAAGAGGGAACTGAGTCCAAAGGATAAAATTGCATCCTTGGACCATAGAGCTTTCTCAATTTTAGACAGGCCATGCTGCTACGCTGACCGTGCACCCACGTAGCTGGCGCACCCTGCTGCGGCAGAAAGCCGGAAGCCAATGTAGGAATGTGACCTCAAACGAACTTGGAAATTAGTAGTAAGGCACTTGTTTCTAATAGCTTCTTGTTACTACTAGTGAGGCACCTGTTACTACGAGCGTGGCACTTGTTTCTAATAGCTTCTTGTTACTACTAGTAAGGCACTTGCTACTACTAGCGTGGCACTTGTTTCTAATAGCTTCTTGTTACTACTAGTAAGGCACTTGTTACTAGTAGCGATGCACTTGTAATTACTAGCAAAGGAATCTACTAGGCTGTACAAATCAAACTATTGCTGGGGAACGGTGAGGGCCAAGTTGAAAAACATGATTATGAAGCCTTGCCAATCATGCCACAAGAGTGTTTCATTGGTTCTATCCAATGGCAAACGGGCAAAAAAAAAACCGCTTAAAGAAAACACACTTCGATATACTTCGATTAACTTTCTCACTTGCCATCCAATCATGAGGCAGCGGCGGAGCCCGTCATACTGCTTCCATGGTGGAACCGCTCTCCGACTTGAGCACCTCAGTGGAGGTGATTCTGCCTTTTTGCCATTCTTCCGCACTGTTTTTTTTAACTGAACGTTTTCTTCATGTTTTCTTTGCACCAATGCTTTTCGATTAAAGCCACTACGTCCACAAATGGGGAAGCACGTTGCCCATATGTTTGCTTTGCTCGGGGTTCAACCTCAACACCTACTACTGCTTCCTTCTGAGCTTCTGCCTGTGCGCAAACAAGTTTCCTTGGAAGTGTGTGAAGTGACAAACTGTATTCACACCACAAGTGAGCAATTTCCGTTGCTGTTGCTGCCAAAGTGGGACTGTCCAAACTAGACTGGCCACCTTGTTGCCAACCGACTTGTTCTCGGCTGTCGAAAACTGTACAAAAATAGCATTCGAGGGTCAAGCTCACCAAAGCAGCATGTTTTCTGGCCAGAAATTCACTAGAAGCGCCACACTGCTAGCAGAAGCGGCAAAGCCAAGGAAGACCATCCCAAACTCCCAGAAGCCGTCGCAAAACAAGCTGCCAACCAGACCACCTGCAAAGCTCGTGGAGCAACTTTCTTTTGTATTTAGATGTATTTAGTATATAGTTGGTGTCTTCTACTGCGTGCATGGCCTCAACATCGCCCGACCTCATGTTAACAAAGACTGCTTTGCAATACCCGACAGCCAAAAGCTTGCGATATCATGCGATATCCACGAGCATGTGTTTGGTGTGTTCCCGTGAGGCGAAAGACTGCACGCATGAACTTACAGTATAGATCTTTCTATATACCTAAAATCAGAATCGATTATATTCATTTTTTAGACAAGCAAATATTCAGCATATGTATACATATATTTATATATCTAGAATATATATATATAATATATATATATAGATCAAGCCAGCCTTCAAGTACCTCCAGTATAGCCAGGATCAATGCGCCACTTGCCAGAATGCTTTCCTCAATGGCCGGTCGAGCAGACGCAAAAAGGATTCAATACAGTAAGCCCAAAAGCCTGAACTAAGACTTGTACCGTGAATGTCCTATAATAAACGAACACAACTTCAAGGTTGGACCTCAACCATGTCGCCCAGACAATAAACCTGTTCACGAAGCATAATCACCAAGCATGCTCATCTTGAACCGAGCTTGTGCAGCTCTATACGTGGGTTAGTATATAGCAAAAATTGTTGTCTATATCCCGGGAACGGCATGCAGAATGGTGGAAGAGGCCTAGGGCCTAAGGCCTAAGGTTGCTAAGTTGTCAAGGATCCAAATAAATGGCACAGTTTTGTAGTAGCAAAAAGTAGCCGCAAACCAGCACGGTCCAAACGCTCAGCGCCAGAAAGATTGCCATCAATATCGCACTCTCTCGCTTGTTTCCGGCGGTGCCACACCTGCATCAGGGTAATTAAAGGTATTTGCATAATCCCCCGTGGTAAGGGAAGCACACCAAGGTCTGGAAGAGAACGCTAAGGGTCCAAAAAGACAAGAACAATGGAAAGTCTTGCTGACGGAGCAAGACTCCAACTCCGCAGCGCTTGCAATGGCAAATGCAAAAGCATCAATATGAATTCGCCCAGTGCCACCCCTGGACGCAGGGTTCCAAGGCTGCAGATCTTCTGACTTTAACTGGGCCGGTTTAAACACATAAAAAAGGATGAAATGATTTAAATGACACCTTTGCTCCAAACAAGTTGGCAAACTCACCATATCTGCACTCCTTGTCAATATCTGGTTGTGGTTCAGAACCTCACCAAGTTAATCTAAGTTAGCTGGCTGGCTGTCAAACCACTTCTTTGGGTACAAGATTTGTTGAACAAATGAGATGCTGGCGCCATTGGAAGCACACCGGTGCAGAAGTGCTGGGCTGCTGGACCTTGCTAAGCGGGCTGGCTCACTGCCAGCCTAGTTAATATGGTTCCTGTTTCCCGAAGTGGGAGAAAAGCACAGCTATTTGTTAGGGCTGCTGGCCCATCCACCACGACAAAAAAAGAAAGAAGGAAACATAGAGGTCTGAATATTCAAGAGGAACCAACATAAATCAACATGTTTCTTGGGTATGATGGTCTTCTTGTTCCACCTGCTAAACTGCATCGTTTGGCCGATTGAGTGATTACGAGTCTGCTGAAAGTGGTTAGCCAAAACCTGCTGGTAGCACAATCCTAGCCCACATACACACTCCGACACTCCAACAACTTCAGCTGAAAGAGCTGTTCATCCAACCCCTCCTGGTGGATAGCGATGAAAGTATGGTTTCACTAGCAGCAGCACCAGCACTGCAATGGCTAAAATGGGCGTGAGCCAATTGTCGAAATAGAGTATCACCTGAAACCGCAATGAGGAACGCGGGAAAGAAGGTCCTGCAAGATTCTCCATGCCATCGAAGAAGCTGCAGCAAGGCTATCGAGCTGGGCTCCCGTCACAAGTGTAAACTCTTTTGCAACTCCTTCATTTACGACAGCGGCTATGGAAGCAGCAAGCCGTTTCAAGAGCTACCCGAAGTATGTCATTCGACCAGTAGAGGTGACATGGCACCAATCCTTACGTACTCTTGCTCTAGTTGCTGGACCTGACCCCTCAACTTCACTTGAGCATATTACCATGAATGTAGTGCAGCTGTTGACTACATTCCTGTTGGCCAAAAGGGACGACAATGCCGCCGATGATATATATATATATATGATTATATATGTAGATAAATACCTAATGATACTAAACAAAGCTGCATACATCTGCATGCCAACCACATCCATCATAATTTCTGAAGAAGTCTGCATTCTGATTCCACGACCTTTGAAGTCATTCAGACTCGAACAAACGAAAGTAAAAGCACGTGCTTTCAACCAAAGACCATAGGTGAATGGGCGGCAAGACTTCATCTAACGTGCACATCACATAATACAATCATGCTATCTCTCTCTCCCTCTCTATGTATATATATATATATACAACCTCAGGTTACTGGGACGGCAACATGGTCCATAAACAAAAGAAGCATGTTCCTTGTGAACATCTATATGCTGAGTTGTCAGGAGCACGGGACGCCAATGCTGTCATTGGATCAGGTTCGATCTCGAGTTTACATGCACCAAGCGGACCGGGTGGGCTGCTACACATGTACCCTTGGGCCCTGACAGTAGAGGTCTTTGGCTATGTGGTCATTCACCTCGAAGTCCACAATGAAGAACTGGCGGAAGGGGCAGATCATGCGGATGCGCTGCATTATAGCAGACTTGCAAATGAAAGCATGTAACGAATGCTGAGGCAGGAGGCAGCTTTGGTACATTGCCCAGTGGCCCTCAAAAGAAACATACCGAAACGTCCTGCCAACCCATTAAACATGAAAGAACTTCTTTCAGACTTGAACTGGTGTCGGCCCGAACCAAAAGGGGCTCCATGGCAGTCGAAAAATGCTCAGCAAACACTATTCTTTTGCATCCTGCCTTCCCTTCAGGAGGGCGAATGCGTCGAAGAGCAAAATTTGCGTCCACCTGGGCTCAAGTCAAGTGTATGCACGCAGTGCAGCTTCATTTATGATAGAATCTATATGTGTGTTTGGGGGGCAGCAAAGAATTGGAAAGGGAATTGCCGCACTTGCAATTGCAAATGGGTTGGTATGTTCGCATTCTACCAAGCCTAAATGAGACCATGCTTAGGGCATACATGGGGTCATAGGGTTCAAACTACAGTATATAAATCGTTTAACCATTTAACCTTGAAATGTCGTGGTGGGGACTTAGTTTGTATATCTAGAATGTCCAGAAGCCAAATGGATCTCACACACACAATTGCACTGAGCAAACAAAAGGCTGTTCCTGACCGTGGCACATATTCTAGGCATGATTGCTCCCCTGCCTCGCAAACAAAGTGTTGGCACTGGGTTGTGCTTCAAAAGCTTGCAGGCAAAGGAATGACAAACGGCAAATGAAACTCCTGTTATCTCCAGGTCAAAAGCTGATCCCGGCACCATCTAAGCAGTGCACCAGCTGCCGGCATCTCTGGGCAATTTGTCGTGCCTCTGCTCGGGCATCATGCGCCTCACAAACATACAAGGGGAACAATCGATTTGGCTTCATATCGAGCTCCGGAGGCATTTCTACACAAAAACCGCAGGTTTGCTTTTCTCAAGCGCAAGCTTGGCTCATGGTCTGTATATATCTGTCTGAAGGAGCCTGAATCAGTTGAATCATCAAGTAGTGAGTAGTGCATCCCTTTGAGGGCGGTGAACTTTTTGGCCCTTTGGCACGACAGCAACAAATCAATTCACATGATACAAAGCAAAATTCAGAACCCCACATTCTGAAACGGGACGGCCTGCAGGATGAATACCAAGATTTCGTCTGGCACAAAGCCCAGTGACAGCATCCTGGAACCTGCAAACATCTAGGCCCATGTTTATCCGAAGAAACTGCAACCAAAGCAACACAAATTTGCCGAAGGACCTGCTAAACATACCAGCAAGGTATATCCATTGCGGCATTGTTGGCTGGGATAGTTCTTAGATTTTGCTGGGACCGAACTTACTAGGGCTTCAAATTGATGAAGGGTGGTACAAACTGTCTCACAAAGTCTCTGCTGACGCACGCCCCTCCTCCTCGCAATCAGTGATCACTAAGTAGGCAAAAAGGCGAATCCTTCTGTACTTCCAATGCCTTCATTGGGGGGATCCGCCTGATACTGCGACTGGAATGAATCCACCCTAACGCCCCGGGGCAAATCAAGATCAGGGTCCAATTAGGTTGAGATTACCTTCGCGAACTTCGCGGAGCTGTTAGATGGTGAAACAGTATTTTCGCCAGGCAAGCCTTTGCAGCAACTGGACGATGAATGCAGAACAGGGGCAATCAACACCTCTTTGTACCCTACAGTTCTAAGGTCAAACATGTGCAGCAATGTTAGACTTGATCAATGACAGAATTGACAACATGTGTAATAAGAGTAGTGAGAAAACTGAGGTTGCACCCAGTCCTGTAGAAAGCCGACTAATGAATATATAATGCACATGTTGTCGCGGAATCAGCATCCATCAGCAATCTATGCCAGGAGCAGTCGGCTCCGAGTTGCATCCAAGCAAAGCAACAGCTCATCTCCTCACAAAACATAATTCTTCTACATACGTCATCATATGTCTGCAAGGCTGGACATGATGAATAACCTTGATGTTATTGCCATAGAGTCAGATCCGAAAGTAGCTTCCGACTGGCTTCCCCAAAATCCCTAGCACTCGTCTTCGTCAAAATGAACTGCTCGAGTCGGATCTCCTGGTCGTTTGCCTGTAGGCACCATCACAGGAAGTTGCCGCCCATCTGGGACCTGGATGTTCACCTCGGTGATGACTCACAGTCCCAACCAAATTCCACGCAGGGCATGAACCAAAGAAAAGCACGACTATGCTGCATTGCGTGCAGCTCACGATCTGGCCAGCTTCAATCCCAGGAGGCACTTGAATCTGGAAGACCTCATCTGAGTCACCTCACACATGCATCTGGTCGTCTGTGTTTTGTGCCGCTTCAAGGAGTTGTCAAGTCGCATTCGCACAGGTACAACAACCTCAAGAAGATCGAAAAGCTGTCCCTAGGAAATGTTGATCGTTTTTGAGAATCAGCGGGCACCGTTCATGCAGTGTGCAGTCATTTCGCAACGGAAAACCAAACGCGACATTGTTGTTGATCCATTGAAGTAGATTCTGAGCAATCTGTTCAGTAGTAGTCGCGGCAAATCTTGGGAACAACCAGTTCTGCCACTCAGAAGTTCACTCTCACGCCATCTTTCATCTTTCTTATGTTTGTTCGACATATCTTGCTCCAGTCTTCTCCGAGTTGCTTGGACCTGTGGAGTGATTAGCATCCTCCTGCCCCATGACGGAGAGCCTCCCCGTTGCGGGGTCGAACTCCAGCAACAACTCCTCTGCAAAGCTTGAGTGTTTCATTCATCTGTTGCAGAGTGATCCAGCAAGCAATAACCTTGGACCTTGGCTTTGATTGCCCTACCAAGCCCTAACATTCAACATGTAGGTGGAAAACGGCCCCGTACAAGACGCTTTTCTTCCACATTTGTTGGAGAGGAGTTCTTGCACTTACAGTGCCCGTTTACACTTGTGGCGTTACTTTAGCATTGGACTTCTCAGTGGTTGCAGTTCAACCTTGATGTCGTGACGTCGAGTAAAGTTTGCCGGTTCAGACTGCCTGTTTCTTGGCAATTAAGTGGGTGTCCAACTGGCTGAACTCCTTGGCAGGTTCACATCATTTCACACCTGCTCTGAACCTGTCAGGCTTCACCCACAGCCCACAGCTCCTTCGGGGCACCTGGTGGAACAACAACGGTGAGCTCCCGACCATCTGGCACTTGGACCGCGAGGGTCTGCCCTGAGGAAACTCCGTCGGGAACTGAGATGCTCAACATGGTCCTCAGTTCGGAGCAATATGTCTACTAGCTTCTTGTTACTACTAGTAAGGCACTTGTTCCTAGTAGCGATGCACTTGTTCCTAATAGCTTCTTGTTTCTACTAGCTGCTAGCTTAATAATATGTTTCACTGTGTCAATCGTTCCAAAGGAAAACTGGCATACTGAGAGAGAGTTCTATGTGTCATGAACATGTTGTCATCCACAAGGATCATCAAAGTGTCACGGATAGCAAGTGTCACATTGCCACATCACACTTGAAAAATATAACGCCGAAAGTATCCGAAAGTGCTTTTGAAGCAAGTCCATGATACTTGCGTGGATCACTGGCACCATCAGTCTGGTCCTTCATGCTTGCTGTAGCATCTGATATTGAAGCCTGCTGCCGGCCTTGGGGCTGCACCTGAAGGATGGATCCGGGACCTTGGCACAGCGAGAGGGCATTCATGGAGATACCCCCCATCCAGTGGTTTTTGGTGGCAGGCGTCAAGGAACCTCATGAATCCCCCAAACATATCTGGTCAGGCAGTCAGAGACAATTATTAAGCTCTGGATAGCTTGGGAAGAAGATGCGCCCAACCTCTGCCCATGTTTGTCCATCTAATTGCATGATGAGACACCCATACCCTGAGGCACAGTGATGCGAAAACTGGAGCCATCTGGACTTCTCACCGTGAGCTCTTGGCCAGCCACAACGCCTGGTGGCACCTCGATGGCAAAGGTGCCACCAGCATCAGTTATGGCGGGTGCAAAGCCTGACGGTGTGGTGATGGATCCCTGGCCTCTGCGCAAGAAGAGGTCGAACTCATTCCTTGCACGTTTAACCGTTTGGCACGGAGGTCAAGAACACATGTATGCACATTGCTATCATTGTTTATAAGTTCCAATCATTACTACAGTACATCCAGAGACGGGGGGATCAGTTGTTTCACAAAATAACCAACGCACATTTACAAAACATGTGTTCCCTCCAGAAAGCCATCGGAAGAATATACTTCACCAAGAACAATATCTGATTGGTTCTTTAAAGAAGGTGTTCATAGTCTGAGGGCCTGCTTTACTTGCATAAAAGTATGGTGGAGTTCCTGTTTTCTGATTTTTAGAACGGGAGCCATGGGGCTGGAGCTGACGTGGAACGCCATTAGCAAAGTGCCGCAGCATCACGTGTTGTGCCCAAAGCTCCAGGCTTCGCCGACGAGCTTCAAGTCGAGGACCCTGGAATAATGTTAGAAAAAGAAGTCCAAGAAGGGAAGAAATTGCATGTTTTGTTTAAAGACCATGGGGGTAGGCCGAGAAGAGGTAACTAGGTAGCTAGTAGCTTAAGTAGATACTACCTAGGACGCAGGATAGCTCACGCTTCTTCAAGGAAGCTCCCCCCGCTGAGGGTGGGGGGAGCTTCCTTCACTAGTGATTTTGGTTCCTAGAATATTAGGGAACCCAAACAGGGTCTTCCTTTTCCTCTCTTGCTTGGATCGGTTGAGCTGTTAGCAAGGCCTCTGAAAAACGATTTGGGCTGAGAATGCTAGCACTTGCGCTGTGCGCTTAGAATGCCAGTCAAAAGATTTCACAAGCATTCCACAGTCCCGCCTCACATCCCAGCCACAACTTTCCAGGAAAATAGTGGTGGACCCTGTACCGTCTCAACGCCCTCCTGAAGGCATTGAAATCGTTGTATCTTCTCAACACCTTCCACGTTGATCCATTCCTCACAAACTTCTCTGGCAACTTCAGCTTCCAACACGTCTTGAAACAGCGGGTAGGGCTCTAGAAGGGTTGAAGCATCACACGCCGAGGGGGGGAAAGGCAACCAGCTGAATTGCTAAAACAGTGCTGAGATACGCATCCTGGATCTCCACCTCACATAGACAAGCAAGTCTGAGCATGTGTGAAACCTGATATCAGGAAAAAGCAGGGCCTAAAGACAAATCAGAAAGGCTTGCTGCAGCAAATGGATGTGACTGTGAAGTACGTGATGCCAGAGCGCTTCACAATCTGATCCTGTGGCCTTGGCGAGCGTCGTCGGATTGGCAGACTGGAACCGGTGGAGTCTACAAAAGACTGAATCTGAATCTGAATATGTATATATGTATATACACATGATACACACTGAAGCGGTCAGGGCCTAGCCCGAACATCTAGCATGATTTAGCAACAATAGTTACACTCACATACTCAAATGCATTGCGACCACATTTGTCCTTCAATTTGTCTGGTGACAGGCAAAGGTTGGAGATCCCAAGTGGTAGCCGTTGATCTGACCGCTTTGTTGCAGAGGCTGCAGCAATGGCCAAGCCACCGCCAATTACAGCACCCACTGGACCTGGTGGCAGGACGTGCATATACAATGATGTCTTCCTTGAAGAACCAAACCGGATAGGTACAGCGCGACTTCAACCTAAAACAAAAAACAACCGAACGCCAATCCAATAAACATATAGGTCATATATGCGTGTGTTGCAAAGTGCGAGATGATCATGCCTGCCATCATGAAGCCCAGCACAGAGCATCCCACTGTGGCAACCACGGCGCCAGCTCCTCCTCCGGACTGCTCGCGGGCAACTATCTGGGACATCCCGGCTCAAGTAACCCTGGATGCCTACACAATGCTCGAGCAAAATCTGGTAACTATCGCCGACTATCGCTTGAGTTCAAAGGGCTGCACAAACACAAACCCATGCAAATGTGCCAAGAGAAAGGGCACGGGATCCGTTGGGCCAGTAAATTTGGCAAATGCGACTCTGAGATACTCTGAGGAGCAACAAAAAGTGGGTGCTTTATGAGCGCCCCTGGCAACCTGTCAAATAGATCCCAGCCTCCAGGCGGTCTCTGCAACACGGCGCAAATACCCAGCCCCCAAACGGCTGCAACAAGAGACGTAATACGCATCCCGGATCATCCCGGCAAATTTGTATAGATTCGCCAACAAAGCCGATACTAAAAGAAGATCCAAACCCAAAGCAATCTCTGCGGCTAGAACCATGTACTCGTCTTGCACACAACAAAGTGGTGATCTACATTGGGATATCAATATCATCTCTCTCCAGGTGTCATGTCTGGCCGCTAGCCTAATTACCTTGCTGGTGATCTCCAACCACAATGGAGAGCAAATCTTCAAGCTTGTTGCGCCAAACCAGCATCCAATCCAAGTGTCGCACTGACTGAGTCTGGACAATGTCTTTTCCACACGCGCGCGCTCGCTGGCTCCCTCTCTCTCCCCTTTTTTGGTGACCACATTTGTCAGTCTGCAAGCGGGCACCTGGGGCAATGGCTTCGAGTCTGGAATCTGAGGCCCAGGAATGTAACCTCAGAAAGGCGATGGCATGTCGCAATGATCAGCCAGCAGAATTAGACAAAGCGCTGGCTACAAAGGCATGGGCACATATGAGCAAATTCGAAATACAGATAGAACACATGCTGCCAGAGAAATGTGGACATCCCCACGCCGTAGCATCAAACAGAACCAATGCGGGAAAACATATTTAAAAGACTGCAATAAAATCAGGGAGCTTGCGTTGTTTAAGTAGCTATTTGTTGTTATCGGCGTCAGCAACGACACACAACATCACACAACCAACTTGGACATCCAATTTAGTGGTGGTTACGGTTGCTTCCTGCTGTCCAAAAGCCACAGCCAGATTCCTGTGGCATCTCTGGTAGATCTGGACGTTGGGGCTGCGGTGCTTTGCTGGGCCCACTCATGACCGGCCGCATGACTGCGGCAGGGTCTGGATCCTGAGATATCAAATGCATGCCTGTCTGGTCTGGAAAAGGAAGGAAACATCAGTGGAAACCATCATCGAAGGTATCAAATGCTATTACTTATATATACATATAGATGGCTAGAAGCGGATTCGCATGTCTTAGCGTCGTGGCATGTTTCAGTCAGCAAGGGCAAGTGCCTTCCTTCTGCACTAACCTGTGCCATTCTTGTTTGGCATCTTGCTGCAGAAGTGTGTAGGGGCAGTACTTTGATGTGATGTTCAGAAGGATGTCCAAGGATAGTCTGTTCCTACCCGTCCTCCGTCCGCCCCAGTTTTTGCCAGGAGCACAGGAGTCTAGGCACCATTGGGAACTCCACAACACTCAAGAACAATGCCCACAATGCTTCTTGAGGGGAAGGAAGTTGCATGATCTTTCTCATCCTTTTCCTTCCATCAAACATGTCCGAGCAAAGCTGGACGGCATCGATAGCGTCGCATATCTGCAGGCTACCGCGGCTACCACTATGCTCAAGCAAGCCGGGATCCTAGCCCACGTGTCAAGCAAGCGTTCACCGATTCGGTGGGCACATCGCGTCCACGCAGTTTGACTGAGAGCCCTCGGTCTTCTGTGAAAACCTCTGTGCGTTGGGACGCCACAGCCGTTGCAAAATACACGGCGCATGCCAAGATCTGGTCGTCGTTGTTGCCGCGAACACCACGGATCGGCTCTGAAAGGCTTTCTGCCATCCTCGGTCTGCCCAGCACCAAGAAATCGCAAGAGTGATCGTTTAAATTTTTGCGGCAACTAACTACCTAAAGAACAAAGCCTTCTTTCAAGCCTGGCACTTCTGCAAACTGATGGTGCTGGCTTCATGTCCGGCTGAACATCGCTTCCCAGAAATAAAGCGCTCAAGAAAGCTCCTGGCGCAACGCGCTGCCGTCGCACGGCTGTCGCTTTGCTTGGAGATCCTATCAAGCTCATGCAGCACCACGACGGGAACAATGATGTTGACACCAAAAATGTTCTCCAAAATGCTGTTCACAGCATCCAAGTGCTCAAGTAGCTGATTGGTGTCAATGATTGCGTACTGCTCCGGGTAATCCGTTTGGCCCTCCGCACTCGTATCAACAGCATCAAGTTGGAGTTGTGCAATCAACTCCGTGGTCTCAGCCACCTGCACATCCTGTCCATCGGCATCTCGTAGTTCTTTTTCTTGGTCCTCGTGTGCATCGGGTGCCTCCTCTGGTGCCTCCTCTGGTTCTTCGGTTGCTTCTTCTGGCTCGGGTTCCGAGGTATCCTCAGAATCCTGCCTCCGCAAGGGGAGCTGACTTAGGAATTCTCGCGCTTCTGCAGTGTATCCAGAAGCATTAAACGTTCTCTGCACCTCGGGCCTCGCAATCTGAAATGAGATCCGTTCTCCTGGCCACAGGGCAAATGGCCTAGAGAAAGAAGAATTCTCTTGATTGGTCTTCTGGGCTGTGCTAACCCCACCCCACCACCAAAAAAAGGGTACAAGCTTGGGCCATGGCGAGGTGCGCTGACCTGAACTTACAAGCTCAGATTGAGGAAGCTCAGGCGCACTAGAACCAGCGTAAGTCATGCGAGAGCTTTTGATACGCACATTCCAAGCGCGAAAGTCCTCATCTGAAGTGGCAGGTCTGGCATTGACTAGTGAAAGAACATCACCATCAAACAGAGCTGTGCCCTTCGTGCGGCTCACAGGCTTCCCATTGACGAAGGTTCCACCTCTGCTCACATCTACAACTCGCACGTGATGCCCTCCGGGCCCTCCACTCTCCAAGTCGCTCGAGTGCTGGAACCAACAGTGACGACGGCTTCCCAAAGCTAAATTAATCTTCCATTTGGGTTCAGGTGGCTCACAGCCACCTCGTCCAAGCAAAATAGCTCCAGTGGAAGATGAGAAGCAAGAGGTGTATTGATCTGCAGAGCTGGAACCCTGCCACAATGGCTCCAAGCACAGTTCAAGAAATTCATGATCTGTCTGAGCCATACTGGATGCCAGCAATGCAAGCTGCGCATCACAAAAAACTAGCCGAGGTCATCCGAGAAACTACACCTTCCACTCATAAGGCAAGCCAATGGTATTTAAAGGTGATATACTACAACATCACGCCAACATTCTTCACTGTTGCCAGCCTGAATGAGTTGTATGTACAATACCAATACAGTAGAAATGGCATTTGGACTCGGAGCTGCATACATTCCTCTCTCTCTCTCCCTCCATCGCCCTCTCCATGCCTGTGGGGAAGTGTTCAGTTCACGGTGGCCCTAACCGCTTCTGAAAGAGTATGCCAAACCTCTGGAGCCTAAGTTGGTGTGCATCTGGGCGGCGGTCACGTTCTCTTTGGCAAGCAGTGATTGGAGATGTTCATCATCGCTATCATCACTTGCCTGATAGTGCAGAGAATCAAACATATGAACAACCAACAAACGATTGATTGACATGCTTGTGAGGACTTGGCATTGTGCCCACCTGGATGACATGGTCTGTAATTCATCATGCCGCCGCGGCAAATTGTGAACACTACACGCCAAAGCTAGACTAGAGTAGCCACTGCTTGCATCATGCAATAAAGAGAGCGCGACCTTCAGCAACTGTCCGAAAGGTATCAAATTAAGAATAGGTGTGTTTTGAATATTGGGTGTGATTCTGTATGTAGTTATCTAGTTCTCTATCTATCTATCCGTCATTCATTTATCTATCTATCTATCTGTAGATGCACTAACCATACTAATCTAGACCAGCATGCACTGATCAGCTGGTCCAATCGTATGGTTGGTCTTGCCTAGTCTTCCACCCGCTCAACCATCCAGCATTTCAATACATTTCTGCTCAGCTACGCTGCTGGATTCACTGGAACTCAAAGACGCTGCTTTTGCCGCTCCTTATCACGCCGACGCACAACGCAATTGTTGTGCAGCTATTTTCAGGAACCCCCCATACAGTGGACACTCTGCTCAACCGCCGCAATTTGTCGCACAAAGATGTTTAAACAAGAAAAACCATCAAACCAAAGAAACAGAACGACACCAATTTGATACCTTGCGCTGAGCAGCTCTCCAGATAAAACTTTGGAGCCTGCAACTGCTGCAGCAATTGCGGGTCGATCTTAAGTTCCTGCTTTGACAACATGCTCACAACGCTGCATCGATGCTGCCGAGCCCAGACTACATCTCACTTGTGTATACACGGAGGATCCGCCGAGGCAAATGGGCTAGGTCCAAGGGGAAGGTTGACAAGTTTTTGGAGGCAGTGAAGATGAGTCGGACCGTACGGGGATTCAAAAAGCGAGGTTTGGCAGTGGTTGGGGTGGGATTGTTAGAGGGGATTCACAGCTGAGGGGGTTCTTCGGCTTTTTCGTGAGAAAATCTTAGAGGCGTGAGTCCGTGCCATTGGGGGAAAGGAAACATTATGGCGTGAGCGCGGCGTGTCGCTGGGGAGCGGGATGATTGGCGGTGTCACAGGCGAGGCTTGGTGTAAACACCTGCGGACGATGCGACAAGTAGAAAGACGCGTGATCCACAGGCGTTGTGATGCAAAATATGGAAAGACATATTGAAGAACGACAGAACTTGTATGCATGTGTTTCAACGCTCTAGCCTTGGGAACATCTTTGGGGCAGGACCTGAAGCCATGAATTCTACTGTAACCTGCATAAGAACCTGCTTAAACATCGCGTTGAAAACATATGTTTGGCAGGGCTGAATGCATACAGTTTATTGTAACAACGCTCGCAAACCTCTTTAAACCTCGACTGGAAGACATCTTTGGGGCAGGACGTTTAATACAAAAACATACAAAAACGCATACATGAACACCGATTGGAAGACATCTTTGCTTCCCTTTTGCAGGGAACATCCTGTTCACCCATCCTGTTACTGTTCTCACTACAATATGCATCTATATATATATATGTGTGTGTGTGTGTTATATGCATATACTAATGCACACCAACATGATTGTGGGCTTGCCTGTCCTTCAAGGGCTCAAGGAGATCCACCTTCAAGGGTGACACAGCTGTCAGCGACGAGGGCACAGAGATAAAAGCGGCATGCAAAAAGAGGCGCTCCCCGGACCATGCAGTGGACCCCTTTCGAGGTGCATAGCGCACATCCCCAGCTAGGGGAAAGCCCAAATGGGCAAAATGGGCCCGAATCTGATGCATTCGACCAGTCAAAGGCCATGCCAGCACCAGGGAGTAAGAATCATGATGCTCATCCTGATCAATTCGGTTCTCTTCACCCACAACGGTTTGGACACCATGAAATGCACACCCAGCACTTGCAACAAATTCCAAAGATATAATATATACTATAGTTGTATATATGTATTTAAATGAACGCACTCCGAGGATCCCCTTGAAGCACTGCCAGCCGTTGGAAGCTCGTGACAGCTTCTTTGCCATAGGGATGAACGACAGCGCGATAGCGATCCACGGACTGAACTGCTCGAAGCTTCACATCAATTTGTCCATGCTTGGGCGGCTCCCCCAAGACCAAAGCCAAATAGGCCTTCGTGACCTGCACAAGTGCACCATGTTCTGGTCTATCATTCTTGAACGCAAGAATTCCATTTCCTGTGATGTCGCCATAGGGCTAGTTGCCGAAGTCAAGAAGAATGAGCTCGTTAAGGTCAGTGCTATTAGCTGTTGTGACAGGATATTATTAAGTGTGTTTGAGGTTTTCCTGCACAAAATTACACACAAATGTCGATTACAGGTCAAAGAGCGCGAACTAAAGTCGCCAGAAAAGCAATGGGTGAAAGAAGCCTATAACCCACACCATTACATGTAGGTCAACCTTTCCGGCACAAAGAATCGAACACCAACATAATCGAACATAATCTATATATATATATATATTACTGTTCTTTTTTGTGTGGTACGCTCGTTCATGTACTTTCAATCAGGCATGGGCGTTCACACTCAATGAAGAACGGTCAGAACTTTGGTGCATCATTGGTCAGTTTATGTCAATTCTCCAAAACTTCTGAAATGCAAAGTCCGTCACCCTGCGCGCTGAGAAGTGATCTTTCAAGTCCTCCATGGCGTCCTGACAAAGAGGAACCACCAAAGCACCCGAGGTAGGAGCATCCAAGCGTGAGACACTTTTGAGCGGACCCTCTGGTTTCCTTGGTGGAGCAAAGAGCCCACCCTGGGACCCAAACTAACCCCAACAACCTGCCAACCTCATACTACGACACGCCTCTCCAACATGGCGTGCAGGGAACAAGCGGCTTTTTGCTGGAATCCCAAAGCTATGACATCATATTACAATACCAATACCTGAAGCAGTACCATCCATACCGATACCAGTTACTAGTGACACTAGTGCACATACATAATCACGACTTCGACGTGGCGATTGCACGGTCATTGCAGGGTCCGCTCTAGCCCATACAACTACGTCTGCAAAATGGCAGTGTCAAAGGCTGGGGCTTTGTAACAAACAAACACTTCAAAGCTTCAATGGAAAGCAAGCGTCTCTTGGGACTCAAAATGATGAATAAGTTCTTCAGTTGTCAGGCCCGCCGGTTTGTCCAAAGCCACTGCGTAGCCTTCGTGGCGTGCCAAAATAGACACCATGGAGGCCGCTGAGGGTGATGTGCCAGCGTCTGTCGTCCCTTTCCGCACGACACTATCACCAGAAAGCCGGATAGTTATGCCATGGCGGGGATCTTCTTTCACTTCCTGAGATAGTTTGACCACTGCAATGACACGATGAGCAAGCACAAAAACACTAGCGACAGTACAAAAAGGTCACCGCTGGGTGTTTTAGCTCAGCATCGAATCTTGCGTCACCCGCCAAAGTTTTGGACAACCTGGAACTGTTGAAAAACCAAGTCAAACCCGTCTTCTTGCGTGAGGAGCACGTCACAAACATCAATCAATGAATCAAAGCCTAAATTTCTGGAGCAGGAATATATATACCTGAACCCTTGAAAGTGCAATAATTTCTGTACGTTTGGCAGTTCTATCCTTTTGGGCCGTTTGGAACACTTCAATGCCAATCTAAACGATTCAAGCCAAAACTGTACACTCCAAAGCAAAACTGGACGCTTTCTTAAATGACTCCCACCAGCAAGCACATCTATGCTTGGTGCATGATCACCTATGTACGCATCTTTGAGCCATACGAGGAGTTGATCAAGAGTTGTACGATACAATATCATGACTTCGGCTCTTTGAGTGTGTAGTACACTTCTAGCCAATTGCCACCCTGGGTACTTGTCAACCTACAGGATATGGTGAAACTTCAAGATTGCCCTATGTGGCAAGCATTCACACTAGTTTGCTCCATCCCACGAGCTCCAGGTCAAATCTTCTCATGATGGTAGGCCACTAAATTGCTAAATGTGAAACTGCACAGAAATCCCACTTTGTGCACTCTTGTGGGGCTTTGCGTACTTTTTGCGGATATTTGCGTATTCTTTGCGGATATTTGTGGTTGTGCAGGGAAAAGTGTGACCATGTATGAAATATATTGAAAGCAATAGTATTGAATCAACACCAAAACACATGCATATGGCATGTGGGATTTCATTTGGCAGCTCATTGACAGATCATGATGGATCTATATAATTATGCCAAAGAAACACCAAGTTAGGTGTCAAAATCTGTGACAGGATGGACAGGTGTAAAAAGAACTGATAAGCATGGATTTGCACATCTATCGTCGATCGTGTTTCTTAAGAGGTGATTCTACAATGAAGATCATGCGTATCTTAAAGCCAAGCATGGAGTGGTGAAGAATCTGCTCTTGATATATGATCTTGTCCTCCACTCAGTGATTTCTTCACGTTTGGACCAACTGGAACATTCAGCCCGCTTTTCAGGATTTGCGTCTTTTTGCGTTCACAAACCCAACAGTTCAAACATTAGTAAACTCTTCAGGGTCCAGGTATATATTAATAGTAGTATTGAACACTTGATCGCCCGCTTTAAGATCGAGGAACACTCGTCCATGTAAGAGACGCTGCACACCACGATCTTGAGCCACCTCGCTGAGCAACTGATAGGAGAAACGCTTCTTCACAGGATCGGCCTGCAATGAACCCTGGACACGATCTTTGTCCGATTCAACCGGATTACAAAGGTCCAGGCTGGTGATTCAAACATGACATGAAGCCTGTGCCTGCACACGCCGAAACTGAACGATGCGAACGGTTTGCTTTGCCTGCATCGCCTGCAAGACAGTCAGAACACGACCAGCAAGTTGCTCCTGCATGTAACCAAACGTGTCTCAGCTTCAATTTGCAAGGGCTTACGGACCATCACATACCAGCTTTAATGACCTTGCATCTATACATGTATGTAATATAGCACGGTCTAACTTTAACTAGATTCTCTCACGATCTTTCAAGGCTCAAAAGCTTGGGTGACCGCAACCTTGCAGGTGACATTGAAATCCCTGACTCCAGACGGACTGACTGGCTGGCTGGCTGGCTGGCTGACTTGCCAAATGCCATGAACATCCATGAACATAAACAAACAAACAAATGGATGAGACGCATCGTCCCTCTTGTTTTCTGAAGTAACAAGAAGCTAGTAGAAACAACTGCACCGCTAGTAGTGACAGGTGCCTTACTAGTAGTAACAAGAAGCTATTAACTTAAATTCTCTTGCACCGCGTGTCTGGGAGTCGATTTGTACTGCGTGCGGCCTGACTTTCATCTTGCAGCTGGTCCGTCTGTTGCCAGGCAGAGTCGCTTAGCCCGACCAAGGTTTGACGAAGCCGGATGCCCTCACCATTCTCTGGGGCCTAGGCAAAGCAAACTGTCAATGGAGCTCCCCCAGGAGAAAAACATCGTCAATCCACAACATCGTCAATCCACAACGTCAGCGCGGACCTATATATATATACATACATTGGATTAGAATGTAAGTTTGGGATCCCACAAGCTATGAACAGTGTAGATCCAAAAGCTGCTCAACGTGCATTTCAAGAAGGTCACACTATACCGCAAACGAAGGTTTGTTACAAGTACACATCCCATGTCGCAACACATCTGCCATACGTCCTGCCTGTGGACCGCCCAGTTGCCCAACTTCGAAAATCTCAGACCGGTCCTGAACGAAAGGCCCACTAGGAGCGATCGGACGCTACTAGGGGCTCCTGGCATCGCTACTAGTAACAAGAAGCTACTAGGAGCCCCAAGGCTGGACATGACTTCCAGCCCTCACTAGTCACTAGCACATCACATTCTGCGGCTGGCTAAGTGTCTAAGTGTATTGCCTGTACGCGAAGACCAAAAGTAACGAAGCATCCAACTGTATATTTACGTGCTGGCTCCATGCCTGCATGAACTTCAGGAACTCGACAATTGCGATCTTCCACCAGCCCCCCGAGCGAGGCGCATGCTGGGGCAGCACACCTTGAGGCCACCATGCATCAACAATCAGCCTTCGCAATAAATGCCATCGCATTTCTCGAAACCTGTTTGTTCACCCCGTTATCTCAACTCTTCTCTCTCTGTCAGTGACTGCCATGACTGTATTCAAAAATTGAATAAACAATTCAGGGGTGCATCATTGGACCCTTTTGATATCGCCTGCCAGCATTTTGGAGCGCAGCCAAAGGATGAGACTTTGGCGCACTCGCGGAATCGTGCAAACCCAGTCCAGCCGCACAGGTGATCTCCTGAATTCTGCAGCATGTGATGTTGAATGGTTGCCATTTTCTCATGTACTAGTAGCTTGGAGGCCATCACTATTTGGTTTAGTATATATACTCACGTATTCTCTAGTTCACTTCATGCATGCACTCCAGCTGTCCGCATAGACATCCGCAACACTGGTATTCGGGCGTGTGGATCTTGTAACTGACCCTTGAGGGGACATCTATAACCCAGTGGCAGCAGGTGGCACCATAGTGCCATAGTGAAGGCGGGGCCCGGTGACCAACTAGGAACAAGGACGCTACTAGGGGCTTCTGGACTTACTAGTAATAAGAAGCTATTAGAAACAAGAAGCTAAGAATTAGAATTACTGTAAGATTTACTTCATGTATATAACTTCATGACGAGGCTCCCCTCACCGCGTGTTTCCATCACCTTGGCTGGAGATGGAAAAGCAGCTCTGGAAAATGATCGACAATCCATTGGCAACATAAAGGTATGAATACTATGGAGTTTGTGTCCAAATTGTAGGTAACAAAAAAGAGCCAATTTAGATACTTGAGCTTTACTTGAAATCTCAACATGCTCCCTGTTTCGAAAGCAGCCCCTCTCCTCTGTCTGTCTGCACCTTGTCTTAGTGTCACCTCCACAAAACTATTGAAATAAATTGGATGACGCTCTTGGCAAGTCCTTTGGCCTATCTTCCGGGTGGCTATTTCCAACATTCAAAAGTGAAACAAGCCACGAAGAACCCCTAAACAAAACGATGCTTTGCGCCTTTCGGACATGTTCATGTCGAATGACACGGCCAATTCACTAGGCATCGGTTTTGTCTTAGTTGACCATGGCAGCTTTATTTTTACGTAGATTTCTAGTGCCGACCTAACCCGGCCCTATGTCAACACAGTGAATGCAACATCGTGAATGCAAATGTTGCCAAGGCACAAAGCGAAGCCCTTCTATGGTTTCACGCTGGAGCCCGCGCTCCAGGTGATCATCAGCAGCAACCTCGTTATGATATGCAAATGCTTTCGGTTGTTATAAAGGGTCAGGGCAAGCAAGTCACCTTGATTCCGAGAGCTGTAGGGCCCACGATTGGTGCATTCAGGACACCAGCTCTCAACCCATTTAGATCAATGGTCCAGTTTGATTCGCTGAATCTAGTTTCTAGCGGTCACTGTGATTCTTCTCAGGCGCCCTCGCCCTGGTATTTGCAGAGTGAGCCCATATCTCGCGAACCCACCGAAACATACCGAAACCACTTGCGTTGGTACCTTGGGAGCCTTCACTTCGTCGGGTCTGCGCAAGCCATGAGCTGCAGCAAGGTGGGCGAAGAGCCGGTTCCTGGAAGGTGGATCCCGGATCTCTTTGTGACATTTTGTGACATGGAGATCACCTCTGTAACACCAAGCTCGCTGGAGGATCACAGCTACCCTAAGCAGGAAGGCTTTGAACTACCACTGCCGTGTGATCAGATTAAAACACTGATTCACTCATTTCCTTGACAACGCCCTCAAACACACATCCGCCCCACCCTCAGCAACTAGAAAAGATGTGGAAAACCATGGCACCTAAGAAATCTACCATCGATATAGCAATTTAGTAAGCAAACTTTGCAGCAAATCCAGGCTTGACTTAAGAAACAAACGATTTGCATTCCACCTGTAATTAGCTTGTAGCTTACCGTATTGCTTACCAAGACCAAGTTCAATATGCGTAATAAACTGCAAGCTGGTTAGAAACTTGCCATACTCTGACTCTTGTGCATGAATTGATCACGGCCTTGACGGAAGAGCCGCACCACAGCTGCTGCAATAGACTTCGCCACTTGGATCAGTTGAATTATCAAACTCTGGCAGGTCACCTGGCACATGAGCCAAAAAGCGTCCTTGCTCCTATTAGCGATGCCAGGAGCCCCTAGTAGCTTCTTGTTCCTAGTAGAGCCAAAAAGCTCAATTTATCTTTATGTAAATGTTACTTCGCCAGGCTCGCCAGGAGGATGGTGCAAAGACTATATTCTAATTTCTCATTGTGCTGAGCAAGGTGCCTAGTCTCGCCTACAGTCATGTAGGCTCACAATTTCCCTACAAACAACCTGCGCACCGCTTGCAAAGCTGATTTAGCACTATCATGGCCAAAGATGGCGGTATTTCTGACCAGTGCATGGACCAAAGGAACTTCCAATCTGGGATGGCCTCCCAAGCTTGTGCTGCTTGGCTCGGAGGTTTGCATGGCTCCAGGTTGCAGGGTCACCTGCTGACCTTCTATACTGAAGACCTCACAGAGAAAACCAAAAAAACAACTAAACTCAAGTATACAGTGCACGCATATATAACTCAAGCATGCATTGCAAGTCAGCTCCCGCACAACTTCTGAGATCTCCCGCAGTCTGATGCTGGGCAATGAATTGTAGGAGCTTCCTATCACCTGTCGGACGCGGTGATCGGCAATTGCATCAGGAAACTACGAAACGTTTGGAAAGGCTCTTGGAGGAAGGAACTAGACTTCTGGAGTAAACTTTCAGGGTCATTGAAAAAGCCTTGGCCTGATTACCCAAGTGTCTGAGTCCGCATGATGAAACTACAAAGTAAATGACAATACAGATTGGCACGACAGGAAGGGCACTCTCAAAAGCCTCCATGTCCCTGCCTGGCCTAGCCACTTCCGCAGCTGTCGGTCATATCGCAGCAGCTCACCTACAGCCAAGCCAACATGACTGTCTGACTGTCGCTTTATCTTGACGCCCAGCCAGGGTTCACACACCGAGAGCCCAAGATCCACCCCGTTGTGCCAGCCTGCAGCCACAGAACCACCGTTGAGCGCCACCTCACGCACCAAGCCGGCAAGGAGCAAAGCATCACTCATGGCGTCGCAGTGTTTCCATCCCGTCTTTTGCTCCTGCGGACGGATCTCGGGATTGAGGGGCTTAGGGCATTGGCCCGTGGGGCCAACACACACTGCAGTTGTTTGTGCTCTTGCACTAGGACCACTGGCTTGACCGGTTTGACAGACCTTTTCGAGATACCCGGGCCTCGCTTACAATTGCTGTGTAGGCCTGGCTGAACAAAATACTACAAGCAATTGTGCAGTTTCCATCATTCCATGCAGAGTGTGCCCAGGTTGAAGTGATAAACAATTGCACAGGAAGCGCACTAGGAAACGCATATTGCGCAATAGTGCACGAAAGACTACATACATGAAGCTTCCTACAACAACTCTTTCACCATGAGCATCTTCCTGTGGATGTGGCTTCGTGTCGGCAGCATGTAGAACATCTTTGACAGTTGGGGCCAGTTGCCCAGTGGCAAGCAAGGTGAAATGCCGGCCAGTAAAATCAGAATGAAATGGTCTGGGGCCTGCACTACTGAGCGAAATGCGTACGTGAGAAACAACATTTGAAGATCTAGCGGCTCTAGCGGGCCATTTTGCGACCGCCAAGGCTCCACCAGCTTGACGGCCTCAAAAAAACAAATGACGACATAAACGGCAAGACCTACCATCCGGGCCCACTCGCGTGGTTCATTGTGGACGCACAATTTGGCTTGTTGCTTGGTTTCACATCTCAGAATCGGGCTGCTTTGCAGGTGTCACAAGTCCGGCGGTGCCAACTGAGGCCCAAAAAACACCTGGCTGCTCCGTCATGGGCCCCATTCCATGTTGCCCCTCAAATGCATGACCTCTCGAAAGGAAACCGCCTGTACAACCATGCCAACAGTTTTATCCAAATAGATCCAAATAGTTATATACTGTGCGTAGTTGCCGTTCCTTGGCAAAGGTGAGCACTCAAATTCACTCTAGTATACTCTAGTCTTTCTTGCTCATGTTTCTGACTTTCTCGATGCAATCACTGACTGGATGAGGTCGGTGAAATCTCTTTGTAGTGCAAGCTTCAGTTTTACCCCCTAGCACAGTTGCAAAGTCTGTCCGAACAAAATTCTGTCGGAAGACTCCGCTGCAACATGTGTGCAGGCGGTACCTCTGTCACCCCATTGGACGGGCAAAAAAGTTACCAAAGTGGGTTTAAGAGATCATCAAAGACATGATATCATCACAGGGGTTGAGAGCTTCGTCACGAGTATGAATTGAACAGATCCTTGTACCAAGGCAGCTGAGATGGATGGATACTATAGCACAAGTCAAGCCTCACAAACCTTCACAATGTCATCCCGCATTGGCCGAAAAGCATCAACAAAAGCAAACACAAAAAACAATTCCGCTGACACTTTCACACTGCGTCCTTTTCTTGAAAGCAGGCTCTCCCAAGAGTCGTATCAAGTCCACGATGCTGCGGCAAGGCTGCTGCAAAGGGACAACACTGGTGGATCCATGCAGGATCGGTTTTCTGTTGAAGTCTGACTGATTGCAGGCTATGGCATGGTCAAACTAACGGCGGCAATATACATGCGCAGCAGCTACTCGGACAACGCAAAATGATCGCTCTCTGGCTGCTGATCCGTTGTGCAACAAACATACATGCGTGCGAGATGCATGTTGATTGAACACATACAAAGGCATGGCACAGTGGCTACCAACGTCCACAGCTTGTGCCAGGTCACGTGGAGTTGTCCTACGAGTGCCACGGCGGATCCGTCATGAGTCTTTTTGAAAGATGCTGCCACTGCTGTTGAAAATGGCTTACACTGTGCCGTGATGTTCCCACCCCACACCAACAAACAAATTACTCCTTCGGGTAAACCATGCTACACCACCACGGACCACAATTGGATCCATGATGATCCATGTAACCTGGCATAACGTGCCGACATTCGTCGGTACGAGGAGCTGTGTGAAATAGAACGTGGGAAGCGGGCAAGGTATGCAAACCACTGCGAGAGATTTTTGAGAACACCCACAGGCCCACAGCACATTAACTGAAGCGGCACAAATCAATACTTGGCAGCCTTGGGGCCTTGGCTGTTGGAAACAAGGCCAAGAGATGGTGGGAAGAAAATGGAACAAAGCGAACATGACCCGACCAAGCCACATCAAAAAGCCAATGTCGGTCATCCTCAAGGGCCGCAGGAACCAGTTGATCTCCTCTAAGGTCTAGGTCCAGACCCACCTTCTGGTGGATCTGGTCGTTCATCGGTCGGTGCTCCTGGCCCTGAAGGTACTGAAGACATACCATCCGTGGTATTGTTAGCGTCCAAGTTGTTGGGTCCGATGCCGTAGATGTCGATCAATCCCAACTCCAATCCCATAGCACTCACAGGAATGGACTTGTTGTTCATGAACGTCAAACCTGGGGGCGCGGTGCAAGTGCCCAACCACAGGACGTAGTTGACCAACAACTTTGCAGAAAAAGAACACACCATACAACACGGAGTGAGATGCTCAAGCTGAGGGGCAAGTACTGGAAACGTGAGATGCAGAGTGCGAAGACAAAATGCCCGTCACCTCTTCAAGATCGTTTACTACCAGCATTTGGAATTCCACCCTGGCAGGACTGCTGAACAGGATCATCACGTCTTCTGCAAGGACCGGATCGCCTGCTAGCTTCGCCAAGCCTCGATGGCAGCAATGTCCAGGGTTTAGAGACGCTAGGGGTGTGTGGGGGCCTGTGCAGCATACTCAACCAAGCTGAGACTTTTCCCTATTGGCGCCAATGACTTTTTAGTTATTTATCCTGCTTCTCTGCGGTTAGTCCCAGGTCACATCCGAGCTGTTCCCCAGGTTTGCATCTGCATCGCTGAGTTGAGTCCCATTCAACCACTCGTTGGAATTATGATGCATTCATGCACCCTACCCGGCTGATTCTGCTTGTGACCAATTGAACAAGCGGGTCATCAGCAAGCCATCACGTGTAGTACCGACTCATGCTCAGCAAAGTGCATAGCCGCTTGCGTTGACTAGCTCTAAGTCTGCGCTAATATATAAACGGTGCTCTTTCAGGTGTTGGATGAAAACACTTCAACAGCAGTCCCATTCTAAAGGATTAATCACCTGCCGTGCTGCACTGCTGGAGGGCTTGCCGCAGCTCGAAGGCGTATGAGTTGAACAAATCCACGTCTGTCTTTGTGTGTTCGAGCAATCCTTCAACAATTGAAGAGCCCTCGTCATCTGCGCAATGATATGCTCCCCTTGCCTTGCAAATTGAGCGAGGGAGCGATCCCCACCCGTTTTCAGTGGATTTGGATCCGTGCAGAAGTATTGGCGGAGATTGTGCAGACTCACAAATGATGAACATCTCATTTGAGATATCCACTTCCTGAACATTCCAGTGGGAAGTGGCCAGGCTCTGGTGCCTACCAGGGCGGGCCTACCAAATGTTTGAAGATCAACCAGCTAGCATGGAAATCATGGAAAGTTTTCGAGGGTCGGGCACGAGATGCCGCACAAGAGTGGCACAAAAAAGTCATGGAATCAAATGAAATCAGATTGATTAAGCAAACTCTAGAGACATAGATGCAGTCTACCACTTCTTCGCAACTTCTTCCCTGAGGCATAGGACATCTCAAGTCTTGCTCGCTGCTGGTCGTCGAGTCGCATCCGCATGTCATGGGACAAAAGAAGGCTAGAGTCTTGAAGCCCCAATCAAACAATGGGCTCCACTGATAGCCTGACGTGAGGGAGCAAATCTCGCTTCAGAAGGTCTGCCCCACTGTCCCACTGAAGGTCTGCCTAGGGCCTAGACCAGGAACAGAACTCATCGAGACAAGAGACAAGTTCCCCAGGAGATGTTCTGAGCGTCGAGGACTTGGTGGAAATCACAGCCATGATCCCACATCGCCTCTGCCAGAAGAAGTGTCTCGCTCTGTCCATGTAGTTCGCCGCTGTTGTTGAAAGCATTTCCGAATCTACGGAGGCTGCTGGTCCACGAGATCCTAACATCTCAAAAGGATTCAAAAGGATCAGATTGGCCCACACACTGACCTACACCTATACCACCTGAGACCTAAAGCAATGACACAAAGTATGGCCAAATTGAGGGAAGCATCCAAGGAGCATATCCTCGAAGCTGTTCAGCAGATTTCTCCTGGCATGTGGCCTCCTTGGCTCATGAGGCTTGGGGGCGCATGCGAACAAAGAGTCCCTCAACAAAACCACCAGTTTTCTCGAATTCTCTCCTGAAATGAAACTGGATCTGGCTCTCACGATAGAAAGAAATGGGAATTCATGTGTGCACACTGCCGTGAGCAGCAAAAGAAAAACGCATTGTGGCAGCTGACAGAACGGCAACAGCATCTGCCCCATTATGGAGAAACACAACATGCCAGTGCATCAGACTGAGCATCTTGCAGCTTTGCCTTGTAGGTGCTAGACGACAAGCACTGTCCAGTGTTGAAAGGGCAACCCTGCACAAACATGAACTCACCTCCGGGATCAGAGCAACCACAAGTATCGGAGCAAAGCATACGTGACAGAAAGCCGCGACCACCATCCAAGCCCCAGTCTGGCAAAGTTGTGATAGAGTTGCAAAAAGGTGCCACGTCAGAACATGTGCTAATACTATAATTTCCAAAGCCATCTCGCAAGTAGTTCATCATTGTCTCATCGTGAGCGGCAAGGTCTGTACAACTTGGATTGCCCTCACCGAGTTGTTCATCTAGATTGAGTGCTTGCAAGTCTTCCATCGCCAAGGGGTCTGCCACCCACACGGCAAAATCCACATGAGGCCCTGGAGTGAATCCACCAGCTGCACCGATGGCCTGCTCCGTGCGGAAGTTGCTCGCCGTGACGCGACTGGTGTTGGGGCTCATGGCTGTGGGTGCCAAAAGGGTGATGCCGCGCTTGTCGACGGTCCAAATGAAACCCTTGTTTCCACCACACATGGCATTACTCACTGCAGAAAGTGTGGAGGACATCGGCATCAACATCAAGGTAGATACGCCTTGGAGTTGCTTCAGGGTGGCCCAAGTAATGCCCAAGTAAATCAATGTGTTTAAAGCACACGACCTGAGACGACCTGATTAATGACCTCGGGTGGCTCAGTTTATCTCAGTTTGCTCTTTGGTTCACCAAGCGTGGAACCAGGCTCCTTAGGCCGATCCTGTATATAATTCAAGGTGATTGGGCGGAAATTATGTTCACTATTCTGCTATTGTTGCATATTGCTGCCCTTCAAAAATCCGTGCTTAACTAGAACGACTACCTACCACTGCTGCTGCTGCTACTACTACTACTCCTACTCCTACTACTACTACTACTACTACCACTGCCAATACCACTATAAATTATTCTTGCCGCTGTGCTTCTATTCAGACTCCCTCGATTGTTTGCTAGGGGGGTGTAGCGACTTCCCAAGCGTGGCACACCTGTCGTAGGTATCGTAGGTATGCTGCCCTCAGACCGTGCCTACAGCTAGAGCTTCCGTCCCAGACTGAGCTTGACATGCTCTGCACTCTGGATGGCACACTTGCGTTCTCAGCAGATTGTCTTGCCATGTTTTCTGGAGTCTATGGTCTACAGATTGCAACCACAGGCTGCAGGTGCTACTGTATCAAGTTTTGGCACCTGCCTTACTTGTTTCAAGCCAGTAGTGCGAATCCACCAGCCAGGGCTTGAACTCAGGGGGTACTAACCTGCTTCGATGATCTGATCTGAGAGAGCAATCAGCAAGTCAAACAAAAAAGTTTTGGCAAGCATACCAAGAGGCAAATCGTAACGAATGGAACCACCACAAAAATCATGACCGATTTGAGATCAGCCCCCTTGTAGCGGCGATAGGGTGGTATCCTCAAAGGTTCCAAGTGAGACCTTGCATGGACACTTGCTACCACAAAGTATCACAAAAACACAATTTTGAGAACTCATCAAATCAAACACCCACAATTTCCGCTCTGCCGCCAAGACCTGAGAAATCCAAAGAATCTCGATAAACCGGTAGGGGGCACCAATCGGGATCCAAAGAGAAATACAGAACTTGACAAAACTGATGTTCCAATATTGTAGTTAAGCAAATGTCCGCAAGTGCATCTCAGGTACATCAGACTCTTGCCAGCAGTTGTGGCCAATGCAGCAAAAATATAGTTGTCAATATCGAGAATTATGCCCAATGAAACGGTATTGAGAATGAGGTCCGTTATGTTCACGGTGTAGACCAAGAAAAATGACCCCACGTAGAGCAGAAGCGCTGCTGCTATCAATCGATAGAGGAGAAGAAAAAAGCTCAGGAGCTTTCGGCCAGACGAGGCTGTGGTGAGCCTGAATTCCAAAACCTGTGTGAAGGGATTTTCCCTCATTTTCATGTGGCTGGCGCCTGTGGGGATGGCCATGATCCCACGATGAAGGGCCAAGGCTTGACTGATCTCTTTTGCAACCATCATGTACCAACAAAGCAAGGCAACCACACAAAGCGTTTGCCCAGTGAAAAGGGCGGCAAAGCCATTGGCCTCCGGCTTTAAGTACTTCCGGATTTCATCATGGAGAGTGACTTGAATTCCTGACCTAAACTGCTGTCTTGGTATTTCCAAGGTGGTAGACACTGCAACTGAACAACCCAAATAAATGCTCGCGGAGGCAAGAGTGCTGCCGGAGGCTGAAGCCCCAAGAGACAAACTACAAACTATATATATAAAACTATAACTCAAACTATATACTGCTTCCAGTCCAAGTGACAAATGCAAGGATTTGTCACCATCGCAAACACGTTCTACCAATGATTTGCCAAGAATCCTGTCGTATACGCTGAAGGAGTGGCCATAAGAATTCCTCCACCCAACCGCCTCTTGTACGATTGAATCTGTGACCTCTGGGTCTAAGAAGTTATTCCAAGCAATGCCCACCTGAGCCAAACCTTCAAACCACTACAAACGCTTCATGAAATGTGATATATAAATATAAGCTATAAGCATACGTGTAAATGAGTTTCTGTTAGAGTTTTTAAATAACCAAATATATATATATATATATGCGCCTGAGAGCAAAAATGAACAAACGGGTTGCCTGCCTCCGCAATATTCCACAATGTGGATTTGAGGATGGAGACTTGAGAAATATCGCACTGCTTACCCCAAAAAACAACTAGGGCGCCAACGGATGCATTTTGTCAGCTGTCGGCATTGTGTCCAAGCAACGGTACAAACTCTTCCGATCCCTTTAGCTGTAACGTCTTCTAAACAGACTCTGCAAATTGCAAACAGGAAAAAACGAAAGAATTCCACTGTACATCATCAAAATGCTCTGCCTTGTGAAGCTGGGTCACATACACACACTGCATCAGAACGGTCATGAATACCAGGAGCATGGTTTGGACAGTCCCTGCGCGACCCAGTTGTGTAGTGCCCCCAAGCACAGCAAGGTCCCATGTGGAATCTTCAAAGCGATAGTACTCCTTGTTGTTGGAGGGTGAGACAGGGGCTCGCAGTCTGCCCTCCAACCTAATAGCGATGACCTCCAAACTAGAAAAGGGGAGCTTTTGATAGCTTTGGTCAGGCAGTGAGGGGTGGAACTCCAGCAGCCAGTCCTGTGGGGAATAAGACTCAGTGCTCAGCCGCCTCTTCTGCACAAGGGAGCTAGCAGAGTGCTGCGAGAAAAACCTTACTCCGCATTGGTGCTGGCGTCTCCAGCAGCTATAGCAGCTGTCGCACAAAACAAGAAGTGCTCGGCACATAAAACAAGCACTTAATGATGTGTGACATGAAAGGGAATGACCACCACTGGCAGGTAGCTGTTGCTTGATTGCCCTGAAATGCCCTGAGCAAGCCTACCATCCACCTCGATTAAATCTTGATTCAATCTATGACTTCCAAGAGAGGCCGGGGCGGGGTTCAGCCTCAACCAAGCGGATCAAGGAGTCAAACCCACAAGCTTGGCTCTGCTTCAGGTTAGTTGCTCCTGATCGAATCTTGGGCTGGAGGTCCCAGTGCCAGTGCTGCTGCTGCTGCCAGTGCTGGTAAATGCTGCGTTGTTGCTGGTGTTTCTGACTGTTAATTACTATTCCAATCGCTTTTGTTGCTCTCAAAAGGAGCCCGCATCTCCAAACTTCAAATGTATCACTGCCTTTCGTCTAGCAGTCTCCTTGCCAAACTTGTAAGCGGTTCCAAGTTATAACACCAATTCGTTTTTAAAAAAAGCATTGACAACACCCGCTAACATCTCCCTGTGTCCATGCCCCCAGTTCTCAACCCAACCAAAATGCGGCCAAGAAGCTTCTTGATTTCTTTGGTCCCTGTCACTGAGGAATCGGTGTGCCGGGCTCCCACTCTGCTGTCAGGCGAGTCCTCGAGCTCTTCACCTTCCAAGCTGATGCCAAGGTGACCGCTGTCCTCAGGGGTGATTTACATAGTGAGACACTGCGCAGCGCGAAACATATTGCATACAACTCCCTTCTCAAGTTGCAATCTGCAATGAGGAACCGCACCTGCGACTGTGCAACAAGCACCAGCTGAATCCACTCGCCACTGGCTAAAATCTTTCCACCAGGGTAGCATGTGCTTTGCATGTTCTTTGCGTGTTTAATATAGGTTGAATGGCTAGAATCTACAAGTACAAGTACTGGTCCACGCAGGAGCAAGTTTCAAGGTTCTATTGTCCTTCGTATGGCGTACGATAAGCTTGCAATGGCACACGGACACAGAACAATCCCGTCATGGTGTTGCAAACGAATTCTCGGACCAGTTCTTGCCAAGAATCCTGCAAAGAATCCTGCATATAGTCGTCAAGGTTCACTTCTCGCATTGGATCTGCTGTCGCTCGCTGCTGCTGCTGCATAAGTTCTTCCAATGCTGATAGACGTTCATGAAGATCGCAATCCAGAATCATGTGGATAGTGCCTAGTTAGTCGAATGGGCAAAGCACAAAATGTAAGCTGCAAGCATGAACGTCCTGCTGCAAATCTAGGTGACCGATTTCTTTGCATTATACCTAGGTGCTTTCCAAGCGTGAGAAGCGCTCTTCGAACTCTTTCAGGATCGCAAGTTCCTTGTGGGTTTCCATGGTTCGCAGCACGAAGCGAGCAGCTTCTGAGATGTGGCTCACCTAAGGCCACTGAGCCCATCCCAAAGCATGGAAAATCTACAGCTTATGCTACAAGAAAAGCGTCCCCAATGGTGTTCAATAAAATCAGTTCAAATCTACAAGTACGGGCAAAGGGAGCCGCCAACCCTCACAAGGTGCAGCTCAATTTGCGACCAAGCTTGTCTGAGTTATAAATATGTACGTCTTCTCGCCATTGGACATTGAATGCATAACTCCAATATGCAGTGTCAAACCTAGCCGGGGTGGCCAATTGCAGTCTGGTCCCTAGAAGGCGCTGGTAACCTGCATGGTCCAAAGCAAGATCCTCACTTCACTGTCTTTGAGACTCAAACATCAACAACACCAAGTTCAGGGATGGCCGGGGGACATGTGGCCATCAGCTCGCTTTTGCCACGCGAGCATGTTCTATATGATAACATATTTATGATTATTTATGTATTGTATGGGGTCACTTCACTTGACTCACTGAATGGTCATGATCTTCTCCCAACCCCCTTCTCTGAAACTCAAGCCTGCAGGAAACCCAGCTCTAGCCTCAAAGGCAGGCAGTGCCGGCAGTACTGACAACCCTATCTGCCAACACCACTCCAGCAAAGAAAAGCATCATCCACCAGCCGCCGGCTGGTGGCTTTGCTCCAAGTGACAGGTTGCAACCGGCATGTGTTTCACAAACTGTGTAACTGTTTATAGATGGGTAAATAGACTAGACCGATTATGCAAAATGGATACCCTAGGCCCTAGGCTACAAATATCTACCAAATCATGAGTTCCAAACCAAAAGCGCCAAGTCCCTCTGGGGCTCCGACATATTGTACAAATTCACCAAATTAATGCTGAAGGCCTGCTTTTGGACACACAACATGGCCCCGACACACCCAGTGAGAAAGGAGACGATAACCATCGACTAGGCAATCACACACCCACACACACACACACTTATGGATATGCGTACTGACTTGACAGCGGTGCCACACGCCGGCCTAGGGTACCAATTCCTAAGAAGATAAGTAGGAAACCACTGGAGCCTCGGGGTCCTCAAACGGAGAAGGGGCCAAAGACTCAAGTCGAAATCGAACCGACAGATGACGGCGTGACGTGCAAGTCTGCGGAATGCAAAACTCAACTCAGCAAAATTAAAATTCAAGCAGGTACAGGTGGATGATCAGTCCACCCCTCCCTCGTCATACCGTAGCTTCGTTGCGTACGGTGGGTATGACAAGCCGTACGCCCCTGCTTAAAATAGAACAATTTACAATTCAAAAGAATCCCTGTGACTACAAGGGGCACACACACACGCCTCCCCGAGGGGAGGCGTAAAGCTAAGGTGAGGGCCAATGTGCGCGCACACGCGCACAAGAGACAAAAGAATGAAGACATGACAGGAAGACGAGACGGGACAAAGGTGCGTGTGGTTGAAATGAAAGGGGAACCAAGTGCACAGGGACACCCGATGAAGCCCACCTCATTGTAAAGACCTGGGCGACCTGAAGCCTGTGTTAATATAAATGTATGTAAAAGTGCACGTACACACTAAGGCCGGGACCAATGTGCGCACAAACGAAGAAAAGGATGAGATGACCAGACATGAAGACAGGAGGACATGAAAGAAAAGAGGAAACAAAAGTGTGTGACGGGGAAGGGATGAAAGGGGAACCAAATGGAGGGGACGAGAACCGATGAAGCCATACCTCATTAAAAGCGCCTAGGGACCTGCCTCGTTTGAATGTAAGCGCTGTGTGTGCACCTGAGAGTGGGACAGGTTCCAACGAACCTCAACAAAAGTACTTCGGTCGCTCTGAGCCAGCTTGGACCGCTGCGGTCACGTAAAGGCATGAGCCAACTTGGAATTCCAAAAATGAAACAAAAAATCTGAGTTCTTGTGGCATGAGCCAGCTACTGTCCGCTTCGGACACCTACGTTCCCAAAGCCGGGGAACATGGACAAACACCCGTTCGACGGGTCCACGGGAGGCACTCTACGGGCTCATCCCGGACTGGCACAGGGCCAGACACACTTATGGATATGCGTACTGACTTGACAGCGGTGCCACACGCCGGCCTAGGGTACCAATTCCTAAGAAGATAAGTAGGAAACCACTGGGGCCTCGGGGTCCTCAAAAGGAGAAGGGGCCAAAGACTCAAGTCGAAATCGAACCGACAGATGACAGCGTGACTTGCAAGTCTGCGGAATGCAAAACTCAACTCAGCAAAATTAAAATTCAAGCAGGTACAGGTGGATGATCAGTCCACCCCTCCCTCGTCATACCGTAGCTTCGTTGCGTACGGTGGGTATGACGAGCCGTACGCCCCTGCTTAAAATAGAACAATTTTCAATTCAAAAGAATCCCCGTGACTACAAGGGGCACACACACACACACCCGCGCGCGCGCGCGCGCGCCTTCGAAACATCAAATTGAAGGTCACTCGAGTAATGGGATATATAGATTCAATCACTACTTTGTCGTAGTTGGTTCAATCATGTTCAATCCCCTGTCCCCAAATCCGCACTGAACATGGAATGCAGATTGGGCCAGCCTCCTTCCACATGTCTGCCATGTAGCCCGAAGGCCCCTGACCACCACGGCTTTCCGTATGTTGCCAGCTATTGTCATGTTCACTGGCTATCAGGTGAAATCACAATGCTGCTGAATGCTCCTGCACATCATGAGACTAGACAAAATGGAAATTCCTGCTAGGATGAAATACAGCACCCACCTCGCCACCCAGAATGAAAACAGCCTCACCAAGCGCTTGACAAGAAAAGGACTGCTGCTTCTCAACATTGTCCCTGCCAACCGTGACTGCGAAGTCCATATCGAAATGGACCCGACCAAACTAACCGCACCTGTGGGCAACATGACATGTCTGAGGCGGCTGCATTGGTCTCCGGGTCTACCTCAGCACCATCGCTCGAACTGAGTCTTTGATGCTGATCGCGCAATCCCAAGCACTTTGCATATGAACACGTTACTTGACACTTGTCAACTGGACTTTGCTTGTGTGGTATATATCCAAATCCGCCGTAATTACATGGCTCCTCCAATGCACCCTGTCCTCAATGCTGTCCCATGCTCCCGGTCCCAAGCTTCAAACTCTAAACATTGCGGACTGTTCATGTGCTCCAATGGTCCAAGCGGCTAATGCCACGTGTCCCGCTCTTGCAGTCCACGGTGGGGTCTGGCGAGGTCAGCTGAATATGTCAAGTGTTTTGGCACAAGTGCTGGGCGGCAATGATCATCGTAAATGATTGCTGGAGCGCGTTGCCGAACATACATGTTTAACAAACGAACGAACGAACGAACGAACCAACCAACGGACCAACGAACCAACGAATGAGCGATCGAACGAACGAACCAACCAACGAACAAACAAACAAACGAACAAACAAACATACATAACATTAAATAACATTATGCAACATTACAGTACATTACATAACATTACATTACATTACATACATACATTATGTATACATATACGTATACATACACATACACAATACTATACATACATTACATTACATTACATTGCATTGCATTGCATTATATTACATATAATATCAAATCATATCACACATATAACTATATGATTTGGGTTACTTGCTTTGTGTTGCTTTGTTTTGCCTTGACAACCTTCATTGCTGGACTCTATCGGTTTCAGATCTAACAATGTCCGGAGTTACCTTCAAGTCTTCAAGCTGCAAACATGAACACCAAAAAAATATAGGGTGACTCCCAAATCAATCCCGTTTGAATCCAAAAGCATCTCAGCACCTGGAATTGATCCCTACTTATATATTACTGTAATTACATGGATTGTCCTGAATCCCTTGAACCATCGGATTGAACATGTATTGGGCACCGTTTCATAGACGGTGGATTATCCCTCTTGCTTGAGAATGCCAAGCCTAGACTAATTCAGAACTCATGATAAAGAAATTGCTTGCTGTGGCAATGCGGTATGCTTCCTGAAGACTTCCCTTACCAATTTGTTGTAGCAAATCATAGCAAATCCACTGGCTTCTGAGTCGGAGACTGTGGATTGAATCCACCTGGGACCACGGTGACCAACGCCGACTATGCAACTAACTATCGAAAGAATCTAACACGTCAAGACGCCCAACTGTAACTGGGCATCCTGAGCCCGAATAGTATTTACACTCAAAAGCGGGGAGAACATCGGCCCATCTGCCGAACAGTGATGCAAGCGATGCAATGCACAGTGGACAACCAGAGGGTGTTGGATTGAATGCCGACAACTAGGGAAGTCACTCAGGCGGTGTAGTGCGGACATTCAGCCTCCGCCGCATCAAGTGCAAACACTTGGTGCTTCTCTGCATCTCTACTTACAACCGTCTTCACGGTCAACACCACTACCAGCAAGTTGATGACTCGGACAATGTCCGACAAACACATAATTGCACAACCAACGAAATTACATGAAACTACTAAAGCAGATTGAACTCCTCATTGAGACACTCTCAGCTTACATCATGAGTTGCCACTCTTCTTTCCGCAGGACCATCCAAACAACATCCAAAAAAAGATTGTAAGGAATGTTAGAGTGTGTACTTGTATGACAAGACATGACAAAGACCTAAGACCAACTCACAGAACTGGAAGTAGTTCAAACTCAACGTCCCAGAGACCGTCCCACTCCACATCACTCCACCATTCCGCTGAGAACAACGCCTGTCATCACTGCCCTTCTTCTCCCACCAATTGCTTGGCACGGTCTCTGGAGGCGGAAGCTCCCAGGCATTGCGACGGAAAAGACCTGCAAGGCCGGCCGATGGAATCAAGATCACCAAACAAACAATTGAAAAACATCATGGAAACCTATAAGAAATACTGTAGGTCACTGGGCCCATGAACAGGAGCACGGCTGATTCTGTGGCTACTTCGCGTATGCAAACGTTTCCAACTTGCGACGCAGCATCGCTTCATTGCATGACACGGTGGACAGGACAAGCTGACTGTGCTGGCCCAAGAGCGCGCAGCAATTCTTTTTTTGCCAAATTCGGCCCAGCCAAATCCCAAACGCGCTTCAAATGGCCCTGGACGTGACAAAAGTACCTAGGTCTCAGGTGACGCGAACCATTCTTTGCCTCGTCATTAGTTGGAGCTCATCACAATCCACCCCTGCCATTCACCCCCCATGGAATGTCAAGTTGGACGCTAACTTAACCCCCGACACAAAAGCATGAAGCATGAAGTCTCTTTGTAGCCAACTGAACGTGCTTTCAAGACTCTTGTCTTCTTCGCCGTTCAACTCTTTGAAGACTTGCGCTGCCTTTTCCAATAAATCCAGCGCTCCGCTTTCACGAGCTGCTGCCCAACAATCCTTGACAAAGCTTGGATCGTCAACGCGTGGAGGGATTGGCGGAGAAAAACAGTGTGGTGGATGAGTCACTCTTCCGAAAGGTCGCCCTGGTATTTGGATGTATGTGCTTGCTCTCAGGCGTAATTATAGTGTGGCCTAGTGTCTCAGGTGCACCTTGCTGACATCCAAACAAAAGCATTGCAAGGACCACCGCATGTGGAGTCGCGCATGCTGCAAGCAGCTGCTGGAAGAATGCCAGCTACAGCTACTTGCATTTGTGTGTCTGAAACATTCCACTCTTCAATGCACTCCAAATGGAACTGATTGGATTAAGTAAGTTATAGTTTTAGCTTCATTGATACAGTTATACTACGGGACCCGGAAGTGAAATAGGACTTTACGAGAGCAACAAAAACAAGGTTGACAAATGAGATAGGTCACGAAATGAGGCGACTAAGTCTTGGGCGAATGTGATGCTGATGGCACAAAAACATGAAACCCATCTCATGTGCCATACCGACTTCCAGCCGATCAGATGGGACTATGTGCTGAATCTAAAGCAAAAAATATACCCATGTGCGAGCCACGTGTGTAACATGAAATCGTACCTGCGCTCGGTTGGCAATAAACAGCGAACATTGGCACTAACAACAAAAAATATCAAACACCCATGTTACATGTTGCTCTGTGCCGGAAGCCCCTGAATGACTGCGGAGATGTTTACCTAGAGCTAACTCATCTAGCGTTTCCAGGTTGTGCCAGTAAGATCTGACACTTTGGCTGGGACCTCCGAAGTCCCAGCACGCTGGCATATGCTGGCATCAGCAAAGCTTTTTCAGCACATGAGTTATATAGGTCCTTATGGCACCTTATGGCCATTTGTCTCTTCTCCTGTGGTCTCCGCCAAAAGTATGCTTTCGGCAGATGAGATGGCCGGACGGGCCTCTAGGGTGTATGTGCGAAACTCCCAACTCACCTGGGACTAGTATATGTTATAACATGTTAAAACATGATATCTCCTTTTATATGATCCTTAAACATCATCTCCGTCCAAGGCTTAGGGCTCATCCTTCATCCTGCCAGTGCACTGTGGCCAATGTCATGGTCACTTTGGTCTTCTTCATTGCGAAGCAGCTGGTCTGTGTCTGTTTGAGAGTTCAACAAAGAGGTTTCCTCAAGGATGTTTCGCAAATCCTGCCTGTCGGGTCACTGGCCTCATACCCTTCCCGCTCAGTCGAAGGTGCAGGGCTAGGAGGTGGGTCTTCACGCAATACTCCGCATGAGCTCAGGGTCCACATAGCCAAGCTCCTTGGAGGTCGCTGAGGCCCTTTCGAGGGTTCTGTACGCCATGTTCTACCCATTGGGCGTTGGTGCCTGCCTGAAACAGGTATGCCTACATTTACAACTGCGGCCCAGTCAAATCAACACACCCGCCGATCATGCGGCTTTACCTCCCAGTTTTTGCCAGGCCACTGCATGACCCACGCTGTGTGTGTATTGCGCATGGCTCCTTCATAGGCATCCTGCACTCCGCGCATCTGGATGCAGGATTTTCGTGCTTGCGAGCGGGGGTCGAAGCCATAGGGCCGTATACAACACGATGCACCGGAAGCGGTCATTGATCTGCTCTGGAAGCGCTATGATCCTAATCTTAACATGGTGCACATTGACATTTTGACACACAAAACGTTGAAGCACTTGGCTTCCAGTAGCTACAATGACAGCTACAAGTAGCACAGGCACTTCTAAGTGTGAGATACTGCAAAAGCACTATCAGGAGGAGGGAAAGCAAATGCAAATAGAAACAGAAAGAGGATTGGATTCTGTCACTGCATGTTCAAATCCCAAGGTGTCATTACCCAACCAGCGGTTCACATTGGTAGATCATTTGCAATACGTTCACTTTTCTGTTTCGGTTCCAGAAACTTGGCCATTGATAAGCATTGCAGCATTGCGTGAAAAACTCTGAGTCTCGACCCCTTATCTTCTGTGCGCATCTGAAGGTACAATAGATTGTTCAAACCATCGTGAGCGGTCTAATCATCATGAATCATCGTGAGCGGTTGATGCTCCTGTAGAAATTCAAGCCTCTTCTCCTCGCATTCTTTGGCCTCTTTCTTTGTCGCGCAACCTGCAGGGTCCGCTCCAACGGTATCAACGATCGTCAGTTCCCTCCCATGCATCTGCACGAGAAACCAGAAAATTCAAATAGATCCAAATAGATAGTCCTCGTGTGCTTGTGCTGGTATGGGGCGCTATGTTCATCTTGATTTGAAAGGGTCACGATCAGAAAGTCAAGGACCTGCCTTCAGCCAGCCATTTATGCAAGCACTCGGTTGCCCAGTGCCTCTCAAAAGCAGGATCCAGCAAGTCAAATTAAATATTAAGCATGCTTGATTGAAGTTTCTCTTCTCCTCTGCTCTGTTCTACTGCTGTCGGACTAAGCAACTACACTCGCAGTCCGGCAGTCTTGCAGGGCTGACAGAACAAAGGTTTTGACGAAGCACGCAGCATCGCGAACCCGCTGCTGAGTGAAGGGATGATTGCCGAACGTGCGGGTGACTCTGAAGTTCTTGGAAGTACGGTGGAATGGGAGAAAGTTCCTCAAGAGCCGAGCTCGTCAATATGGATTATATAAACTGATTGGTCAATCCGCCGGGTAGGTATCGGATAGCCCAAGAAATGGAGCGATATGGCAAGTGATGAAAGAAACATGCCAAATCCCTAGCGGCCCGGTTTATTAGCGCGAACGGGCGACCGGTATCCGAAGGTCGGGAGCCCGTTGTGAAGGGTAAGCCGAACGAACGAAGGCACGGCGGCGATCGAACGAACGAAAGTGCGAAAGGGTGCGGAAGCGAAAAGCAACGAAGGTGCAGCCGTGCACAGCACAGCTAACACGGCACCCTGAAGGAAAAGTCGCGGCAGCGGCTTTTTCCTTGAGCCAACGTGGTAGCGGTCGGGTGAACATCGTTTGACTCACCTTGGTGAACCACTACAGCTAAATAGATAGGCAATGCACAAATAGTGGTAGGCTGTTACATAGTAGGGGTCCTCACGAAAAATGACTCCCCCCTCCCCGATGTGGGGCAGCTGCACTATGTACATGCACGAATTACCGCGCCGGGTGGCAGCGGTTTCGACGACCTACGAAGCTACGAACTGCTTGGAAGGCTTCGGTCCGTCTTGGAAGGTACTAGGGAAGGTCTAAGATGTTCTTCTAGAGGTGTTGCCGGTTACATATTTACGACAAGTTTGATGGATACCCCTTGACCCCCACATAGGTATATCACACCGCAGAAAGACAAGGCTCAACTCTCACAGCATAGGACTAAGGTGTTCTGTTGAAGGTGTTTAAAACAACGTATTTTATTAAAAAGGTCTGACATCAAGTTCCTGCAGCTCTAATGTTCAAAAACACTAAAATGAGGTCGGTCCACCGATTATCCATGTTGAGGGTCTAACATAGTCAAGTTTGAGGGTCTACCATGATCATGAAACCATGTTAGACCTTTCAGTCCCAGCACCTAGGGGTGCACTGATTCCAGACCCTAAGTAGTTGAGGGTATACATGACGCATGTGCCTAGCGCACCAAGTCCAGAATTCTGGCAAGATGGCTGCCCACGCGCGAAGTGAGTCTGGCGACATGAGCCCGTCCTCAGGTTCTTCGGACCAGGCGTCGGAATGATGGACGACATATCTGTACCACTCCGGGTAATGCTCCCTAGCCGTTAAAGGTTTTATAAACGGTAGGTGCCACGAATGCCTGGTCTCTCGATACGTGTATGCCGCCATATGACTTGCAATAATATCGCAAGTCGTTGCATACCGTTTATCTGTCGCTTCAAACTGATGTTTCTGTCCACCCCGTGCACCTCTAGTCCTCTTGGGTTGAGGGTCGGTAGCGGTGTTTTGGGATGCGGTCGATGCCTCCGCGCTAGGCGCGGTTTCCTTGCCCTCTTCTCCCTCCTCCTCACCGCCTCCAATCTCGTCGTCTACTTCGACTTTGGGTTCAATGCCGTCGTCTCCGTAGTCGACCTCCGCTTCGTCAAAAACAGGGTCGGATCCTGCAATTGCCTCGAAGGGATTTGGATGCTGGTGGGATTCTATCGGGGGAAGGCCGGCAGCGTCAGTAGAGGGGAGTGCAACTCTTCGGCCTCTTCTTCGACTGAAATTCAGGTGCTTCGGCGTTATTCGGCGTTATTAGGGCCTATCGAATCTGATTGATGAGCCTCCGAAGCCTCTCCGCGCGAAGCAGCGGTTCCGGCATGGAGCTCTGCTTCTGTGGATTGGTCTTGGAGGGTATTATGCTCTTGCCGGTTACTTGGCGGCTCGAGCTGAGTGGACTCAACTGGAAGCTGTTCGGTGGTCGAAATGTCTGGCGCTCCTTCCTCGAAGATTTCTGCCTCCGCTCCGGCAGTTTCAGAACCAGGTGGAGTAAAGGTAGGCTGCGAAGAGGATACGATAGACACGGCTCGGGGAGCAAGTGGAGGCTCCTGCACGGAATCCACCTGTTCTTGGCCCGTGACCTCCGCGCTAAGCGCGGACAGTAGATGTTCCTTGGTCCTGAGGCCCCTCGGCTGGTGCCGAAGCTGCTGCGGCAGCTGATGACGTCGAGACGGCACTGGCTGAGGCCGAGGTACAACGCGACCCATCGTTGGACGACGATGCAGCAGGGTGAACCTAGCTGCGATGGGTGCGAGGGCTTCCGTATCAGGAACGATACGGCTGATAACCAATTGATTGGTAAATCCTCCGGGTAGGCATGGGATAGCCCAAGAAATGGAGCGATATGGCACGTGATGAAAGAAACCTGCCAAATCCCTAGCGGCCCGGCTTATTAGCACGCACGGGCGGCCGGTATCCGAAGGTCGGGAGCCCGTTGTGAAGGGTAAGCCGAACGAACGAAGGCACGGCGGCGATCGAACGAACGAAAGTGCGAAAGGGTGCGGAAGCGAAAAGCAACGAAGGTGCAGCCGTGCACAGCACAGCTAACACGGCACCCTGAAGGAAAAGTCGCGGCAGCGGCTTTTTCCTTGAGCCAACGTGGTAGCGGTCGGGTGAACATCGTTTGACTCACCTTGGTGAACCACTACAGCTAAATAGATATAGGCAATGTACAATCAGTGGTAGGCTGTTATATACATAGTAGGGGTCCTCACGAAAAATGGCTATATATGATCTATCTACGCTTGTCTATCTATTTCTGTCTGTCTGTGGCTCACAACTTCCCATGGACAATACGTTCGATATCTTTCGATACACATAGCGCTACTAGACAAAACCAGCTTGCTGGGGATTACTACATGTTGTCAGCTGCTGGCAACGAAATGAAACAAATACATCAAGGATCCAACGATCAAATATAAAAGCCCATACAAATCACTGGATGCATCAGGTCTGGAGATGCCCACCAGGTGATGCACCATGTTAAGTGACACGAACATATAGCGATGCACTTGTTCCTAGTAGCTTCTTGTTACTAGTAGTAAGGCACTTGCTCCTAGCAGCGATGCACTTGTTCCTAGTAGCTTCCCAGAAACAAATGGAAGAGGCTCAACAATTCTCCTGCGCCTTGGCAACAGTTGGTGTGCAGCTGGAGCGAAACTCTGGGCCGTGGCCAAACGTGTGGCACGATCTGCGTCGGCTTGCTGCCTCTGGGTCGTCAGCTTTTGGTGTCTACATTCATCGCATGGAGAAATAAAGCAAACAAGGAACATATAATTACACATAAAACCTCAAACAGAATACGGCAACTTTTAAACAAACGGACAGACCTATAAAGACCTTACATATCCTTACATTACCATCGTTGTCATGTCAGAGTCTGAATGCTACTGCCAAATCGGTTGATTATATAAGCGAGAGAACATCTATATCTATATAGACGTACATTGGAGCATCTTCATTCTTTGACAATTGAGGTCAACCATCTCAAGTCACAGTTTGAGGCAACACCGCCCCGCAGAACACGGTGGCAATTAGATATTATGGGGGGTGAATCTGAAACATAAATTCCATGTGCTAGGCTGCTAAGCTTTTCCAGGTTTCACAGTGGATTAAACAGCGACAAAGGACGGCAATCATTCTGACTCCGGTCAAGCCCGGCCCCATTTGAGCTCAGCATGTGGTCGCGCCTGCAAAGCTGGACCAAAAGTTCCTCTCTCTTGGTCACCTCGACTGCAGGCCAGGCACAGCCAGCGTCGCAAGGCGACAAGTCAGATCCTCCGCATGGCCAGCCACGGATGGCTCACCTCTTGGTATACGTCCGTCTTAGTGTCACTCTCAGGTGCTCGGGCTAAGTCATTGGGATGCCTATGGCCACAGTGGTCCCACAGTCATCCTCTCTCCTAACTCTCATTTCAATCTAATCAAGATTGCTGACTTCCGGATACTTCCGGCCATCTCCCATGACGATGTATTAATTGATATATTATGTCAGTTATGTGCCGGTGACCCTACTTCTGGAGCTTTCTGTACATCACAAGTTTGCCCTTCTCCCAGCCTTCCGCGGCGAGGAACCGCAAACTGCCGCAGCGGCAGCGCACGCCACGACTGCGGTCCCAATGCTCTGAACAGCGTTGACAAAGGCAATGAAAATCCTGCACTGATCTGAATTCAAGCAGCGGGAATACGGCGCAGAACAATAAACTGTTGAAAAAGTGAGATGTGAATATGTAGCATACACTAAAACTCGAGCATGCTGCTGAAGAACAAATACACAAGCGGCTGTTTGCAGGGCAAGGTGGCCAGCCCAAAGCACAGAATGCATAAGCAGGCTACCAAGCATGCTTTAAGCAGGTTTTCAGTCCAAGTTTGCATCTACAAAAATCCCAAATTTGTGCTTGGATGACGACCTTGGAGATCCGCAAGCGCATGCGACGCTCCATAGTGGCTTCGAAAAGCTCCTTGCATGAGCTGAGTGGAGCTGGGCGCGAGGAATTCAAGCATCGCCTGGGCCTCAACCTGGAAAAAACTGATCCACAACTAAAAGAAGCCGTGATGATGTGTGATGACTGTGATGACTGTGTCACCCTTGGGATTATCAGCTTCGAGCAGCTATAGCAAGGTCGGTGGCTATTGCCTCAAGCAAAAAATGTAATCATACATCCATTAACATAGCGTGCGAGCGCTTCTTCAAGGAAGCTTTAAAAAATCGCAGTCCTCATCTGACAAATAGCTAATGGTCACCTCCTCGCCAGCCTCGGGTCTTGAACAAGTGGCATCTGCAGTGCTCGCGGGTTGGGCATACCGTGCAGCAATGAACTGGTCCAAACAGGAAAGAAACTGCAAACAGTGATGTTTTTTTTGGTGCATGCCTAGGCAAGATCAACGGTGGTGCGTATATCAACTTGTTTGATTCTATAGGCCAATAGGCTTTCATTCACCTGTGCAGTACATGAACGCCGCTATTTTGCATACCACCATGCCCCATGTGCACAACACTTCAACAATTGCAGCTGATGCTTCTACAGTGTCTACAGTGTAATTACAGGTTTCTATAGGTTCCTTATAGGTGTCTTGTCTTAGATTCCTGTCCCTCCTTGGCAATGTTTCATGGTTCCGATCGTCAACACCATCAGGAGTATACAATATCCCGAGTAATCAAATGTCTTTAGGCCTCTGCTCGGCAAATGCTTCACTTGCGCAGCTTACGCACCAACCAAGCCCAGTGGTCAAGCCACCTTCAAACATGCAGGTAAGCAAGTAGTGCTTGGTGTCTGGTTGTGCAAGCGAGCCAAAAATTCTAGCCACATTAGTCAAGCGTCAGCAATTGGTCTGCGAGCACGGAGGACCAGTTGCTCATCAGCTACCCAGTTGGAGTTTGGATTGCAGTCCTTGCTGCTGCATAAATGTCCACATGGCTGCATGTTCAGGAGTCCCGATGCAAGATGTACAATACCAAATCGCAGTACCGAAGACTGCCAGGTCTCGTGTGAGTGGAAAGACGCCTGCAAGTAAATGGCGGAGGCAACGGGGTCGTCACTGTACTCGAAGCTGTTGTATTTCCAAACCTCAAATGGCTCCGGTTGCTAGGGTGCACAGCGGTGCAGGCTCCTTACCCTTGGTAACTGCTCGCTTGCTTCCAGCTGTTGAAACGTTCAGCAGGAATAGTTTATTCTTGGAATGTCATTCTCACACTTAGCTTTGAAAAGAACATAAGACCGTGAGTGAGTATAACCAGGTCACTTGGTCATTACTGCTTTACACAATGACATTTTTGCGACACGATTATCTCTCAACATGACCCTCTTGATGCCAGGTTGCTTGCAGCAGCCGCCAAAATTTATCCGTCAAATCTGTGGTCATTCCCAGGTCCAGCAACAGCTGCTGTATGGCAGGCAGCGCTGCCGAGTCATTCCTGGTTCATCTGCGGTGCTACAATGACTACTCTTGGTGCAAGATCATCTAGCAAAATGACGGAAAATAAGCATACGCGCCGTCCTTTCAACTGCAACTATGCAATGTTGCCGGCCTTTCGTTGAATATTTTCCGTTTATACCCAGCAGCGGCCGAGGTGCTCATCAGGTGCACAAAGCCACAGGAGCTGGCGTTGTAATCCTTCTCAGGGGACAGCTGTGATTGTGTGTCCTTATTCTCTAGTAGCCCCTAGTAGCTTCTTGTTCCTAGTAGTAAGGCCAGGAGCCCCTAGTAGCGTCCTTGCTCCTAGTAGCGATGCCAGGAGCCCCTAGTAGCTTCTTGTGTCCTTATCCTCTCGGAAAACCCTTAACCTTTCAAGCTAGGCTGTCATGGAGGGGTTGTGCGGTTTGCTCTTTCTTGCGGCCGCAAATGTCGAATTTTCCCTTTCTATCCTTTTTCTTTCGGGCCTTCTGGGACCCTTTATGACCCTTTCAAACTCTTAGGTTTGTGTGCTAGTGCACGACTCAGCTGGTGCCTTCCGAGATAAGGGAGCACCGCAAAGGAAGCTGCTCGAGGTCACCAGCTGTCAAGGAGTTGAGAGCGCACCAGCACCTGGAGTTCAAAACACTGTCTTGTGGCGTATACCTTGAGGAATGCCCCTCGCTCTGTCAAAACTTGCCGTTTGGACATGGATGCGGATATGGTGTAATTTGTTTGGATGCATGTTGTACAGCGCGGTTCCTTCTCTGTCCCGCCGTGGCACCACCGCGCACTATAGCAAAGGTCATGCACCAAAGCGAACTGCTCCAACTGCCGGAAAAGTTCACTATTCTCATCTTCCTTCCAGATGCCAAGAGGTTCAGCGAACCACCAACATCAGCCAATCCAGTACCCGACCCAAACAACTCACTCATACCTGCTCAACTCTTGCCTAAAGGCCCCGCTGTTCCTGCATTCAAAGTTGTGCATGTGTTGATATTTATTCTAAACTTCTAACCCCCCAAAATTTTGAGAGGAAGGCGCTCAATTTGCCTCACACTCTGGTGCGTCGCGCCTCTCAGATAGGACCAAATAGGATGTTTATGGATGTTTCAGCACTGGAATGCTTCGTTCAAGGGTGGCTGAAATTACCAACTGGTAGTGCTGGAATGTGCTGAAAATGGACAACATGGAGGGCAAATGGACGTGCGCTAGCGAAACGGCACAAATTTATTTTCAATCATGCAATAGTGCCTCGATGATGTGCAGCGGCGGCTCGGTGTAGATGACGTCCTGAAAAGGAAAACAACAGGATTTGCAGAAATGTAGCATGGCACTCTATGACCATCCGTCTGCCTAAATCGTAGCTGGGTGAGTCTTCAGTGACTACTGAAAGCCTGCATGTACAATGGATATGTGTGGGGCTGATGTTCTCAACTCCCAAGGTAAAAGGACACCCAGAGTAGCAGGTAAGGAAATTGGATGAAATGAGTATGCAAATGCGTGTGCACATCATGTGTTTATAAAGGGCCCATGAATCAAATATATATATATATATGAATATACTACTGTCTAATGACTTAGGCCAACGTGATGCAAGTGACATACCAATCTGGCTACCCCCAGGCTAAGTCATGTGCCCTGACATATCGAGCAAAAAAAATGTCTGGGTTGGGAAACCTGGTGTCATAGGACCTGTGGACACCTCCTCGACAAAAAAAGCAAAAAAACAGCTAAATAATGCTAGATACCACTGCCTGGCACCCTGGTGACACAGTGGTGACATAGGGTGCGACTATGTGTTTTTGCGGGCGCTGCTTCCTTGAATACCTCATACATATTTCTATGAATATCATGGTTGTGGCCTGATGACATAGGCCTTAAGAGGAAATGCCAATGTTGGATCAATCCTGATGACATAGGCTTTTGGAATTGGCGTGTATGTCCGACAAGTCCTAAGTTACTAGTCAGTAGTATATATATATAGTCTAAAAAACATAAAACACAACTGAATAGAGTCTAAGCTATTGGGCCATCATTCAACTGAGGCTCTCCACTTTCAAAGTCCCTTGATGCCACAAGGATTCGGCCCTTGGACTCGGTGAGAGCACACTGCACCAAGCTCCCACGGCTCTGAAGGTACCCGTTGATCACCTGATACATGCAACAAGCATGAAGCACAGTCATCTCAAATCCAGGCAGCCAAACATGGAAAACAAGAGAAACATATTCAACAAAAAGTTTAAGCATATTCTATCTATAGAATGCTCGCACTCCATGGTCCACTACTTGGAGACGTTCAATTGGGCGTTCTTGCATGAGGGCCCTGTTGACATAATTGATCAAGCGTCAGGGCTGAGGCTGTTGAGAAATGTGAGCCTACTAGCTGCTGGACTCGAATGAAGGTGGACAAAAAAAAAAAAAAAAAACAATAAAAGAGAGGCAACCCCGATCTGATGCAATGAGATAAGGTGAACGCAGTGAACGCAGGTGGGGTGAGGTGGGTGAGATCCCCTAAAAAAGAACTTGTTGATAAAAACTTTGATGTGAGAGCGTGTTAACAGAAAGATCAAAATTGTGTGGCAAAGAGTTTGGAGAACAGGTGACTCTTGCCGTGCCGGATCAATGACTAAATTTATTGCACCCTCGTGCCGCGCAAAATGCAGAATTAACACTCACACTGGCGCCCAACATGCGATTATGAATGCACGCTTTCCAGCATTTCAAGGGTGCAACCCCACACGACACCGAACAGGTCAAACTTTTGCCCATGGCAAATCCTTACCAGACCCCTTGACACATCTCCGCCTCCACGTTCTCCATGTGGAACAGCCCTCAGGCATCTTGTAACGTCTTGCCATTGCTACAATGTGGTGCAATGTGTGTGTGTGTGTGCCCAATCGTGATTTAGTGTGCCAGTTGTAGATTCTTGCATGCTGAGGGTAAAATACGTACATACAGTGCAGCCGACACCCACAGCCGCTGTGCCGTGATAGTTGTCATCCTGCTGCATTTAGCAACTCAGGATAGCCACTGGCAACATCTTCATTCTGAGGCTTAATGCAGAACGTCGGTGGCGGGGTCCTCAAAATGTCTTTCAACTATAAATTTGGCATCCTGCACAACTAGGTGCTGACATGTGCTGACTATGTTATAGTGTGGCTAGTGATTGACTTCCTGGACATGAAATGCACGATTCCACAGGTTAATGCTGATGACAAATAATAGTGCCAGGTATGTTACGCATGTTGGAAAAATCCGCATCAGTTGCACAAACAGGATTGCAGTCGGAGATCTACATCTATAATTTGATCTTTGTCACGCCATTTTGCGGCAAGCCCTGAGGCGTCTTGAGCTAGCGCTGAGCGGTTTAATCCAAGACCTGCACACATTCTTTCACTCTGCTATGAGTGGAAAGCAACCTTATGGTCCCCGAACTTTAGGGAGATCAGGCAGAATGCAAAGTAAAGGCAAAGCCACACGGCAAGAATTGAAGCTGGTGCAAGTGTTCGGGGACCAGCGGATGTTTTGGATGGATTTACCAAGCATCACATGACCTTAGGCCAGCAACACTTGAACCATAACAAACTAATTCTATAGTTCAAACAGCCTGCTCCAAGGTCCTCTGAAATGATCGTGCTAAGCATCTGGCTACCACAGATTGAACCCGACGAATGTACGGCCACTTGTTAGCCAATTAGTCCAAGAGGTCCATTGAGGCATGGTGGTGCCAGCAACCAGAAGGACATATTTCACGATTGGACTGCCAGCAAACGGTGATCATTTCTGAAACCACTGAATTGGTCGAACACCAGGCGCTATGATGATGATAACTATCATCATCGATGGCCTGCTCAGTCCAGTATCGTAGGTGAGCTGGGTGCTCTGATCTCAGACGGCCCTCCGTCCTTCCACAATCTTCCACATAGATATGTCGCATCTTTCGCGCTGAAAACAAAATACACGGATGTACAATGTACACCCATAAAATTGTACAATTGGAATGTTGGATCCAAAGTTGGTATTGAAAGCTAAGCACCAAACTTCATGCATGCACGTGCACTGCCTTCCCACCCCTTGGGCACCCTGCAGAATATCACACACAGAAATTAGATGTACAGTAATTAGTGGTATATAAAAAATAATTGCCTGGTGGGTTGCGGTGGAGTCGTAAACGCACCTGCTCCTGCTCCTGTCAATCCGTGTGATTTCAACATGGAGTTGTATAAATACACGGTCCTTTTCTGCCATCTTCGATGTTGTGTTTTCGATGTTTTCCTGTTACCGTTACTGTACGTTTATGCACTCTTGTCATTAACTCGCCGTTTGGGGAACATGCAAAGCTGTCGTCGGAGAATTCGGCGCCCTGCAGTTGTTTCCCATTATCGTTTTCTGATGTTTTCTGGTTCCTTTCTGACTTTTTGGCTATATACTTGTATACTTGTGGTCCAGTGGCGTTTCCAGGCAGAACAATTACAGTAATTGGGTGACCAAGACCTGCACACCTGACAGCGTCTGACTTTGTGTAGAGCATTGGAGCGCAACTCAACCCATGAACCCATATTATAGCTGCTCCGGCCTTCCTGGAGGCATTATGCCGCAACTCCTCTCGAACACCCATCCGCAAATGATGATAGTCGTTGCCAGTGAAAAAATACTGCAGCTTGGCGCTGTGCAGTACAGCAGTCTCATGCAGCCTCCAGCTCGTTCCTTTCAAAGGGCAGCGCCAAGTTCCACCTGGCTAAACATTGGGTGACCTTATTCAGACTGAACACGAGGGGCCAGGCATCTGGCTCCAGTACCGCGCTGACCAACCACTCTTCGAGATGGTCTACTGGTGGCGGTCCACCGCCTCTCTATTCTAGCTCTGCAGGGAGCATGCAAGTGGTGATGGTCATCTTTACCATACGTTATCTTTCCCAAGGACATGCTGTCAGCATTCTACCAGTTCCCTGCAAAATTAAATACAATTGTGAAACCACACATGGCAGCTCCAGAAACCAGTTTAGCTTTCTACTTGCAGTATATTAGTCGTGCATGCAGCGGCCTTGTCTGCGAGTTGACATGCCAAAGCTGCTGTGCTTCGGCTCTTTGGTTGAGCCACAGTCGCACCGTGTCTCAGAGGGACTCAGACTCAAACATGTTCACTCACCTTTTGGCCTGAAGGCAGGTCCAAGTCACAGAGTCTGCTCCACCATGACTGTTTTCACCATGTTTACCTGTTGCTGCTCAGTCTATCACACATAGTATCAAATAGTTGGGTTTGATCATGTGAGGTTGTCTAGGCCCCCTTTTGTTCATCGATTTTCCGTTTGGCACATCGTATAGTTTCTTCCTTATTGCTTAACCATGCTTCGACTAGCTGCAACATTCGCGTGGAATGCATGCATTTGTGCCGTATGGAATTGGCAAGCATGACACCATTGCGCAGTTCATTCTACACTAGCACAGCTAGCACATGTGTGGGCCATCCATAGTGTGCGAATGTACCGGAATCAAGGTGTTGTGGGTTCTCTGCGTCCGCTGCGTTATCGCTATCGTTGTGTTATTGTGTTCGTGCCCGGAACAAACATCGATGTCCATGCACAAACCAAGATACGGCAATACAACACCTCCTTTTATCATATGTTGCCTTGGTGGGGGAAACAAACCTGAGATGAAACACACATGACAGGTTGTCCATGTGCAGTGTTATCGGTTTATGTCTTCCTTATCATCTAAAAATGGATGGAGCATGATGGAGCATCTTTCTGGCAAAACGGACATGCAAAGACTAAATGTGTGAGTGTGTTTTTGCTTGCCCTCTCATGTGTGGATGAAATGCTTGCAGTTCTTGAAAGTAATTGAACAGTTTTGTGTTCGATTGCCTGGCAAGATCCGGACTCTTGCACTCCACGGGCTCCTGTGGATCTCAGCTCTTGAAAATCAAATCAACATGGCACACAAAAGAAATCATCAAAAGCCTCACGTTCTAATTCGCCCTTTGGAAGCCTATCCAGTCGTCCATGCAATGTAGCATGGACGAAACAACACTTCGCACCACTATGCCTACTACTATGCCTAACTATGCCAACAGTAAAGTCATGGCAAAAGTCCTTCAGGATGAAAGGCCTCAACATGCAGCAATGTGTTTGGCTTGAAAAAGCCTCTGGGGATTCAACTGCCTGTGGGCCTTCTGGAAAATGGAAATCAAACAGCTGATTTGTCCCATGTTGTTCCATATATTTCACACTAACCTTGGTCATCGACATCCTTACAGTTTACAGCCATCGTCTTCCCCGTCTCGGAACATGCGATATAGCGCGTCCTCTAATTGGTTTCGTACAGAGTACGGGCTGTAGGACTTGAGCTCCCCCCTGGCATGGGCAGTAGCAAGGTGGTGGGCGAAGGTGTACAAAACGCACCCAAACATGGGGGGTGCCTTAGATACCCCCCCCGTACAGGACCCCTGGATTAATTTTTTTTTAAATCCAGGGGGGTTTGAGTGTTTATCCTGATATCAATCAAGCACGTGGCCCCCGTCTCAGACTATTTCTATAGACATTTTTAATCCTGAATGATTTGACCTCCAGAAACCTCCCCTTTCATTAACGTTCCACAACCTTTGCTTCGGTGGTGTGGGCAAGTCATTTCCTTAAAGCTTCTCATATCAGGTGCAATACGGACATCTTAAAACTGAATTGAATCAGTAACATACACGCTAGAAAAGTGACTGTTGACACTTCCATCCAAAAAAGCACATACAAGTCTTTGCGCTTGTGTTTTCTCCTTTTCAAGCACGGGATGTAAATTGCCACAGGATATGTTGGCCTACTGTGGATGGAAGCGCTTGGGATATCCTATGGTCCCCTGGGCCCGTGGCAGTTTACAAATGAATCCTGGAGTCGTCAAGGGGTCAAAAACCCCTGGATAAATTTACCAAATGTCAAGCCCATCAGAAAATACCAGAAACCCTTCCCAGGACACTGGAGATGCCTGGATGAACTTCATGTTACAGGCTCCTAAGCTATGTCCTGCTGTCCTGTGCTTTAGCTTTTGTTATGGGAATTGGTTGGGCTCCTTGTACAATCTCTTAGCCTCCTTCCCCTTCAATACTTGACATTTTGGCCTACTATGGAAGGAAGCGCTTGGGATATCCAACATCTTCTGGGACTATGGCGATATATAATTGATCTTGGAGTGGTGAAGGGGTCACAGACCACCAGATTAATATACCAAGTGTCAGGCCCACCAGAAACTCTACCCAGGGCACTAGACGCCGTGATGAACTTCATTCTACTATACGCTCTCCTGAGGTAATTCCTGCTGTCCTCCGCTTTTGTTGTGGAAGTTGTTGCGCTATGTTGGGCTTCTGGTAGTTCTTCCTTCTCATACTTCCTTAGTCTCCTTCCCCTTCAATTCTGGATATGTTGGCCTACTGTGGATGGAAGCGCTTGGGATATCCTATGGTCCCCTGGGCCCGTGGCAGTTTACAAATGAATCCTGGAGTCGTCAAGGGGTCAAAAACCCCTAGATTAATTTACCAAATGTCAAGCCCATCAGAAAATACCAGAAACCCTTCCCAGGACACTGCAGATGCCTGGATGAAATTCATGTTGCATGCTCCTAAGCTATGTCCTGTTGTCCTGTGCTTTAGCTTTTGTTATGGGAATTGGTTGGGCTCCTGTGTTTGTTCCTTCTCATACCATAGCATACCCTGAGCCTGTGACAAGTTTCTTGATATTTTCGCTCCATGTCTTGCTTCGCCATCCCGCAGGAACCAAACGGCGAAAACAGTGAATAATTATTAATTCTGACCTATGCAGTGGTGTTAACATTCCTGC